CTAACACTCCCATGGGCAGCGGGGGCCTGCCCTCTGCTCCGCCACCAGCCACGTTCCCCCACGTGACACCAAACTTGCCTCCCCCACCGGCACTGAGACCCCTCAACAACGCATCGGCTTCTCCTCCAGGCCTGGGTGCCCAGCCAATGCCCGGGCATCTGTCCTCCCCCCACGCCATGGGGCAGGGCATGGGAGGCCTTCCTCCTGGCCCTGAGAAGGGCCCTACTCTGGCTCCCTCGCCCCATCCTCTCCCCCCTGCTTCCTCCTCTTCTGCCCCAGCCCCTCCAATGAGGTATTCCTACTCCTCCAGCAGCAGCTCGGCAGCCGTCTCCTCCAGTGCGCCCTCCTCCTCTGCCTCCCAGTACCCAGCTTCCCAGGCGCTGCCCAGTTATCCTCACTCCTTCCCACCGCCGACAAGCCTCTCTGTTTCCAACCAGCCACCCAAGTACACTCAGCCTTCTCTCCCATCCCAAGCTGTGTGGAGCCAGGGCCCCCCTCCACCTCCTCCATACGGCCGCCTCTTAGCCAACAGCAATGCCCACCCAGGCCCCTTCCCTCCTTCCACCGGGGGCCAGTCCACTGCCCACCCACCAGCCCCCACCCACCACCACCACCACCAGCAACAACAGCAGCAGCCGCAGACACAGCAGCAGCATCACCACGGGAGCTCCGGGCCCCCTCCCCCTGGAGCATACCCCCATCTGGAGGGCAGTGGCTCCCACCACGCTCACCCTTACACCATGTCATCCTCTCTGGGGTCCCTGAGGCCCTATCCCCCAGGGCCAGCACACCTGCCGCCCTCTCACAACCAGGTGTCCTACAGCCAAGCAGGCCCCAGCGGACCCCCAGCCGCCTCCTCTTCCAACTCTCAAGGCTCCTACCCTTGCTCCCATCCGTCCCCCTCACAGGGCCCCCAAGGGGCGCCCTACTCCTTCCCAGCCGTGCCTCCGGTCACCACCTCCTCCGCTACCCTTTCCACGGTCATTGCCACCGTGGCTTCGTCGCCAGCAGGCTACAAAACAGCCTCCCCACCTGGGCCCCCGCCATATGGAAAGAGAGCCCCATCCCCTGGAGCCTACAAGACGGCCACCCCACCGGGATACAAGCCTGGGTCGCCGCCCTCCTTCCGAACAGGGACCCCACCGGGCTATCGAGGCGCTTCCCCGCCCGCAGGCCCTGGGACCTTCAAGCCGGGTTCGCCCACGGTGGGGCCCGGACCCCTGCCACCTGCGGGGCCCACAAGCCTGTCATCTCTGCCGCCGCCACCTGCGGCCCCAAACTCAGGGCCTCCCCTGAATGCCACGCAGATCAAGCAAGAGCCGGCTGAGGAGTATGAGGCCCCGGAGAGTCCAGTGCCCCCGGCCCGCAGCCCTTCGCCCCCTCCCAAGGTGGTAGACATGCCCAGCCATGCCAGTCAGTCGGCCAGGTGAGCGAGAGGGTGAGATGGGGTACAGGTGGGGTTGGGATGCAGGATCGAGAGAAGGGAGGCCCTAAGGGGCCTTGCGTTCTCGTGGTGCTTTGTAAATGGACACTGGACCTGGCCATCACCGGCCGCGCGCCCGTCGTTGAGGCCGAGGCCGGGGCGGGGCCGCGCCAGCAGCTCTCGCCGCCTAAAGCGCGCGCTGGCCCGGCAGGTTCAACAAGCACCTGGATCGCGGCTTCAACTCGTGCGCGCGCAGCGACTTGTACTTCGTGCCGCTGGAGGGCTCCAAGCTGGCCAAGAAGCGCGCCGACCTGGTGGAGAAGGTGCGGCGCGAGGCCGAGCAGCGCGCGCGCGAAGAGAAGGAGCGCGAACGCGAGCGGGAGCGGGAGAAGGAGCGCGAGCGCGAGAAGGAGCGCGAGCTCGAGCGCAGCGTGGTGAGTGCGTCACGATGTGCGCCGCGGGAGGCCGAGAGCGGGGGCGTTGCCCCGCCACCTGTCGGCCAGGAGCGACCACTGCAGCCCAAGGAGCAGATCCCGAAAGGATGCGGGGGAGTGGGCGGGAGGGTGCGTGGTGGATCAGTCCAGCGGGGTGAGGCAATCAACTTTGGAGACCAGTGGGCAACTTGGGACCACTCTCCCTTTTTGCTGTACGTCTTTTTTACTTCACTTTTCTCTGTATCCTACAGAAACTGGCCCAGGAGGGCAGGGCCCCCGTGGAGTGCCCGTCTCTGGGCCCAGTGCCGCACCGACCTCCGTTTGAGCCAGGCAGCGCTGTGGCCACGGTGCCGCCCTACCTGGGTCCTGACACTCCAGCCCTGCGCACTCTCAGTGAATACGCCCGGCCGCATGTCATGTCTCCTGGCAATCGTAACCATCCCTTCTATGTGCCCCTTGGGGCCGTGGACCCCGGGCTTCTGGGTTACAACGTCCCGGCCCTGTATAGCAGCGACCCAGCCGCCCGGGAGAGGGAACGCGAAGCCCGGGAACGAGACCTCCGCGACCGCCTCAAGCCTGGCTTCGAGGTGAAGCCGAGTGAGCTGGAGCCCCTCCATGGGGTCCCTGGGCCTGGCCTGGATCCCTTCCCTCGTCACGGTGGCCTGGCTCTGCAGCCCGGCCCGCCAGGCCTGCACCCTTTCCCCTTCCATCCGAGCCTCGGGCCCTTGGAGCGGGAACGGCTGGCACTGGCCGCTGGGCCAGCCCTGCGTCCTGACATGTCCTACGCGGAGCGGCTGGCAGCCGAGAGGCAGCACGCCGAAAGGGTGGCGGCCCTGGGCAATGACCCCCTGGCCCGGCTGCAGATGCTCAACGTAACCCCCCACCACCATCAGCACTCCCACATCCACTCGCATCTGCACCTGCACCAGCAGGATGCCATTCACGCAGGTGAGACCCCTCTCCCAGTCCCACACAGTTCCAAGAGCTTGCGTTTCCCCCCCTCCCCAGCCCTGGGCAGGCCCCTGCTAAGCAGCCTGGGCTGCTACCTTCAGAAGGAGCGTTGCCTTTGTGTCACTGTCCCTTAGCCAGCCCCCTGCTCCCCTTCATTTACTTGTCCTTCTGGATTTAGCTCAATTCTTAATCTCCTCCCCTTCCTGATCTTCGCACCTTTAGATCTGGAGCTTTCCAAAGGGGACCCGTAGCATTGGGTGTGGTGCCCTAGGCAGGAGCACTGAGCTTTAGTCGCCATCCTTTGCCCACACTCCTTCCTCTGCCCCCTGGCCCCGGGCACCCTCCACCTGGCCCCCCTGAGAATGCATGCAATCCCCTCTCCGCTCTCTTCCCAGCTCGTTTCCTGTGCTGTCTCTGTCCCCTCAAAGTAGCCCATCACTGTCCTTCTTAGACCCCTCTGCGACAGCTGTCATTTCTGTCCTGCCAGTCATGTGTCCCCACTCCAGCTTGCCATGTCCAGGGCTCCTGCTATCCCCTACAGGGGCCTCTGTGCCCCTGGGGAGTTCCTCCTGTGTCTACTTGTCCCAGACTGGCGCCCCTTCACCCAGCTGCATGGTTGCCCCTAAGCCTGCCCACCTGGCGTTGACACCTCCCTGTTCTCTGCCCTCCAGCGTCTGCCTCGGTGCACCCTCTCATTGATCCCCTGGCATCAGGGTCTCACCTTACCCGGATCCCCTACCCAGCGGGGACCCTCCCTAACCCCCTCCTTCCTCACCCTCTGCACGAGAACGAAGTTCTTCGTCACCAGCTCTTTGGTAAGGATGGCGATTGTGGTAGGGTGGTGGTGCTTGGAGAGGGATGGGAAGGTGCAGAGAGCTGAGGCACCTGTTTGAATGCCTGGCTGATGGGTGAACCCCAACACCCTCCTCCCATCAGCCACAGGTCACATTGGCTGTGCTCTGTAGCCCTGCTGAGTACATGTAAGGTGGCTGGTCAGGCTCTGGCCCAGAGCTGGGTACTTGGTTCCTGTCCGTCCCTCACGTGCCCCTGTCCTTCCTGCTTCTAGCTGCCCCTTACCGGGACCTGCCAGCCTCCCTGTCCGCTCCGATGTCTGCAGCGCATCAACTGCAGGCCATGCACGCGCAGTCGGCTGAGCTGCAGCGCCTGGCACTGGAGCAGCAGCAGTGGCTGCACGCCCATCACCCACTGCACAGTGTGCCGCTCCCAGCCCAGGAGGACTATTACAGGTACCACGGGAAGCCCATTTCCTTGGGCTGCAGGGTGTAAGGTCAAGGTTGTTGTCTCTCTCACCTCTGCTCTCTCGTGCCCGCCCCCTAGTCACCTGAAGAAGGAGAGTGACAAGCCTCTGTAGAAGCTGTCAGCGCGAGTGTACCCGGAAGGCCACGGCTGACCTCGCAGGTGCCCCTCCTGGTGGCCAGCAGAGCCCAGGAGCGGGTGCTGCGCAGTGCCCGAGCCCCTGCACCTGGGCAGAGGGACGAGGGGACACGATCAGGTGGGGGTGGCCAGGGTGGGGACAGCCAGCGCACGGTGTCTTGGGCCAGGTCCCTCCTCCTCGGGCCCCTGCTTTCCCCCTCCCCATGCCCCTCCTGCCCCGTTGGTGTGATGATCTCATCTGTTAGATGTGGCTGTTTTTGCGTAGCATCCTGTGCCACCCCCACCCCTCCCAATCCCTGTGTGCCTGCCCCTCTGCGATGTACACCCCGTGTCCCTTCCCACATTAATAATTTATATATAAATATCTATATGATGCTCTTTAAAAAAACATCCCAACCAAAACCAAGCAAACAAAAACATCCTCACAATTCCCCAGGAAGTCGGCTGTGACTGGTCTGTTTTTTGCGGGCTGGGAAGCGGGAATGGGGCGGCCTGTGGGGGGCTGGGAGTGGAGGGGGATCCGGGAGAACCAAGAGCCTGGGCCTGGAGGGGTAACCGCGCGCTGGTCTGGCCTGCCCTCACCAAGGCGGGAAAGGCGACAGGACGCTCAGGGGCAGACTCCCCGCGAGGGCCATCCTGCTGTCGGGATGGTTTGCGGAGCTGCACGGGGGCCCGGCAGCCTGCACCGCGTGCGGCCAACGCGGGGGCCAGCCGAGCGGGAAGTAGCCATCGCCCACTACCACGAAAAACCATTTTAGAGCAGTGCGAGGGCCGGGGCTTTGAAGACTGCGAATCCCTGTGTTCGTTAATAACAAAAAAGGCTGTGACGGGCAGTTTTCTCAGCCAATGAGCACCGATCTCATCTGCATAGGCTCGTATCCACCGTCCCTAAACTCTTAAAGATGAATCATTTTACACGTTCTTAAGAATACTCCTCGTTTCTGCTGAGAATTAATGCACAGTGTGGCCTACCTATTAGTGGATGGAAGACAGAAACCGCTTTTCTGAGCTCACCCTCACTAACAGTGGAGTTCAAGTGTTTCCCGCGATCGCCTCCCTGCGTGCGGCCGTAACAGTGTTACAGCTCTTTTCGAATTTGTCTAGTAGGCTTTCCGCTCTGTGCTGGAAAGCCCCTCACATGAGCGTTTTTAACGACAGATTCTGCGTTTAGTGCGGTTAGTTCTGTAAAGCCCTGGCCCTTGTTTGCTGGGGCCATCGGGCTGTCCGCTCTCCCCGAGCGGGAGGTCCTGGCTGTGCCGGCTTCCGGCTCCGGCTGGCGCTTCCTCCCTTCCCTCCCTCCTCTCCCCGTCTGCCCTCGGGAAGCTGGCTCCTTCCTGCGCAGCCCTTCCGTGCTGCCTGTTCGCTCGGGTCTTGCGGCAGTGATGGCGACCGCCTCGGCTCAGCCCGCGGCCCTGAGCGCGGAGCAGGCCAAGGGTGAGCGGCGTGCTGGTCACCGCGTGGGCGGCGGAGCATGCGGGGCGGCAGGCAGGGCTCCATCCTCAGGGCAGCGGGGACGGGGAACGCGGGGTGCCGGCTTTCGAGGTTCTGAGTGACTGGCGGGGGACGTTGGTTTCGGTGCATTAATTGTCTGTGTCGCTCCTGCCTGCGCCCCGTCGCCTGTCCCCGGAACGCCCTCCCACGGCCACCCCCGGCTGGCCTCTGCCGTCCAGTGGTCTTGGCCGAGGTGATTCAGGCTTTCTCAGCCCCGGAGAACGCGGTGCGCATGGACGAGGCTCGAGACAACGCATGCAACGACATGGGCAAAATGCTGCAATTCGTTCTGCCGGTGGCCACGCAGATCCAGCAGGAGGTCATCAAAGCCTACGGTTTTAGCTGCGACGGGGAAGGTGGGTCCAGGAGAGGGCGTGCACGGAGGGTAGGGCAGGGTGGCCCTTGAGCCGCCGTAGTTCTCGCCCACCACAGGACGGCAGCCACCATCTGGCTGGCAACCCTGGCCCTCAGAACCCGGGTCTGCCCTCATCTTGTGCTGGCGATGCCCTGTTACACTAGCATTGCATGCGCTGACGAGGTGCCGATCCCAAGGCACCAGCACCTGGAGGCCATCCGCTTGAACCAGGAAGTGGTTTGGTTTTGCTGCCTTGTGAGGCTGCTCCAGCTGCCTGAGGGTGCAAGGACTTGGGCCTCTTGCACCTGTGGGGGATACCCAGGTGGTCTCACTTCTGCCCAGATCAGCTACTGCCCTTGGGGTCATTTGGGGAGTGGCTCATTGGATGATCTGTCTTCCCCACCACCATCAGCCTAGAACTCTTCTTTCAAATCCATTGTTAAAGACTAGGAACAGGAGCTGGGGCTGTGGCCGAGTGGGCAAAGCTGTCACCTGCAGCGCTGGCATTCCATATGGGCTTTGGTTCCAGTCCTGGTTGCTTCATTTCCCTCCCATCCGGCTCTCTGCTAACGCGCCTGGGAAAGCAGCAGAAAATGGCTCAAGTGGTCGGGCCCTTGTACCCATGGGGGAGTCCCAGAGGAATGTCCCAGCTTCACCTCTGGCTGTTGCAGCCATCTGGGAAGTGAATAGCGGCTGGAAGATTTCTAACTTTGCCTTTCAAATAAAATAAATCCTTTAATGATCAATAATAACACCGCAGAAATAAGCCATGTAGAATTAAGGTGCACATGTGGCACATCTGGCCTGAAGGGAGCAGCCAGTAACTTAAGCTCAGGCTAACTCCCCCATTCAGCCATCTTAGGCCTGTGGGTGACTTGCCACTCTCTCGTAGGTGTCCTCAAGTTTGCTCGCTTGGTCAAGTCCTACGAAGCACAAGACCCTGAGATCGCCAGCCTGTCGGGCAAGCTGAAGGCTCTGTTCCTGCCGCCCATGACGCTCCCGCCACATGGGCCGGCAGCTGGGGGCAGCGTGGCTGCCTCCTGAGTGCTGGCCCTGGCCTGGACCGTGGCTGGGGCAGGCATGTACCAGAGGACAATAAATGCCCCGGTGACTTGGCCTGTCTCAGTCCTTTGTGGTTCTAACCGTGTTCGCCCAATGCCCAGATGCCTTCCAGTAGGCCCTGTCCCCCATTCAGCTGCTTCTTGTACTTCCTTGGACGTGACCAGCGAAGGAAGGCCTCAGCCTCCTCCCTTACCCCTTCTGCACCCCCAGCTCCACCCCTCACCCCGGCCCTCTAGGTGAACAGCTGCCATCTGGGCAGCTCCCTTCGCGGCCTTGGGTGGGTGGGCCTGCACGGCTGGGGCCCCTCTCTCTGAAGATTCCAAGCCCTCAGGCCCTCTAAGCTTGTCTTGTTGGTAGGGGTTGGCTAGATCAGGGTTACTTCCTGGTCTTCGCCCCTCCCCGCCCTCCTACCGCTCTCAGCTGGAGCTCCAGGTGGAGCTGCAGGTGGCTCCTCCCCTCCCTAGGGAAGGAGGCCGGCCCGGCAGGCAGCCCTGCTCTAGGTGGCTGGCGGCGGCAACGCGGGGGGTGAAAAGCAGGATGCTGTGGGCGGTCTCGGGCCAGCCCCGCCCGCCCTCTCCTTTACCCAGAGACCATCAGCAGGAGTTTGTCCCTGCGCGTGCCATTGGCCTGGCTGGGCGGGGTGGATCAAAGAGGAAGCGGCTGGGTGGAAGCCTTACTTCTCACCTGACCTGGGCTGCCGGTGCACCGGGGTGCTCTGGCCCGGCCCCGCCCCCTAGAGCTATCTGCCCGTGACTCCCCCATCCTCCTGGGAAATGCTGTCCCGCGGGTAAGTCCTCTGGGTGCCACGGTCTCCTGGTAGTGTGGGAGGGAGGGACTGTTGCCGCTCAGGGAGAAGGTGGCCTGTATTTGCTGGCGCCCTGTACCTCCTGCTGCCCTACCCCTGAGTTTTTGAGCACTTGGGTCCTGACACTTGGGTGTTTGTTCTCCCCATTGCGTTTCTGCCTGCAGCTTCGGATCTGCTGCCTGAGCTCTGTCCCCCTTGGCCAGTGCACATTATGTGGAACATGAGAGCAAAATTCCTGTTTCCAGTTTCACCCTTGGTTTCCCAACGTCTGGCCCAGGTTCCACCTGCTTCCCCCGGCTGCAGCATCATACATCCAACCAGCACGGGCTGTTTAAGATGCCAGTAATCCTGGAGTGAACAAAATGGACCCAACACCTGCTCCCAGCCCCGTCTAGAGGATGACTTCAAGTCCTCAGACGTGTTGGGCATGTGCGAGCTAGTGATTGGGGCGGCTGTTGCCAGCTGGAGGAGTCAGGGAGGCCTTCCTGGAGAGGTGACATTTGAGCTGAGATCTGGGGAATGAGGAGGAACCAGCTACGTGGTGACGAAATCCTTGGTGTGGGGACAGACATGAAAAGGCCAGTGGAAGGGCAGTGGGGAAAGTCAGTGAAGAGGAGGCAGGACCGCACAGAATGACAAGGTTCCAACTGGGATGTTGTAAGTGCGAGTCTGCTTAGAAAGTTCTGGTGAGTTTGTGGGCTGCTTGGCCGCCGACTCGTACCAACTTCTGTTTTTCACCCTCTCTTGTACTTTCCTTCTGCCCACCCTGTCTTCTCCCAACCCCCTGCACAGAGAATCCCCCTGTCATTCACAAGTGAGATTAATATATATATATATATATATATACATAAGATGTATTTTAATTGGAAAGACAGATTTACAGAGAGGAGGAGAGTTGGAGAGGAAGATCTTTCATCTGCTGGTTCACTCCCCAGTTGGCCACAATGGCCAGAGCTGAGCTGATTCAAAGCCAGGAGCTTGGAGCTTCTTCCAGATCTCCTGTGTGGGTGCAAGGTCCCAAGGCTTTGGACCATCCTCTACTGCTTTCCCAGGTTGCAAGCAGGGAGCTGGAAGGGAAGTCGGGCAGCTGGATCATGAACTAGCACCCATATGGGATCCTGACACATGCAAGGTGAGGACTTTAGCCTCTAGGCAACTGTGTTGGACTCAGCTCCCTGCCCCAATATTTTAAAAATTTATTTTCTTTATTTAAAAAGCAAAGAGAGGGGTTGGAACTGTGGCACAACCAGTTAAGCCATGGCCTGGGATGCTGGGCACTGGTCTGAATCTGGGTAGAGACAGACGGAGAGTTCTCATTTTCTGAGTCATTCAAGCTAGGCCTTCTGAATGGGCTGCAGGGCCCTGAGAAGTTGAACCATCACTTACTGCTTCCCATTCCAGCGTGTCCTTCCGGAGGAAGCTGAGTCAGCATCCGAGCCAGGACTCAACTCAGGCACGCTACCTCCTAGCTGTGGGTGTTCCCAGCGGCATCACAATCCCTGTTCTTGACGTCCACCTGCCAGGTTCCTCCCGAGGCCTGTGCTTCCCTGATCACGTTCCTCCCAGTGGCCTGGTGATTCTATCCTAGATTCTCCTCCAGGCCACGGAAGACCCTGTCGCTGGGTCCCAGTCTCCAGCAGCCCTGCGGAGCAGCTGCACCAGAGGAAACAGATTGGAACCCTCCGCCTTTGGGGACCTGCCTGCCCTGTCTGTCATGGGCCCCCATTGTGGCGCTGCAGTGGCGTCTGCAGCAGTGTGTTTGGTGGGGTGCTCAGGGTGCAAGCTCCGCTGCCCTGACCTTGGGATGTCTAGCCTCCCACTCACTGGCTAGTGACCTTGGCAAGTTTCTTCATATCTCCGAGTCTTAGTTTCTATTTCTAAAACCAGACTAATAGCATCCGCTGGGAACGAGTGGCCTGAGATGTTCAGCTGTTCCCTGATACTTCGGTCAGGCCTTTGCTCTGGGTAACACCCCTTTCTTGCACCCCTACCATTTGCTCTGGATGCTCATGAGCCTTGTGGAAAATGGCTTTTTAAATTCAAGTAACTACAACTAGAAAACTAGAGGGAGAGCCCGGGCTCTCAAATGGCTCCCTCTTCCTGAACACCGTTCAGGGTCAGCAGGGCCCCCTTCATTCTGCTGTACCCCAAGGGCTAGGCCCCAGCCCCCTTGTCCCTGGGGGAGGGCCTGTAGGCAGAACCGAGGCAACCTTGAAGCCATCTCTACATTACTTCTACCATATGGTACCATGCTATACTTCCTTGCTAGGGAATAATGACAAGAAAACTTGTAAGTGTCCTGTGTAGACACTTTTTCTTTCCTTTTGAACAATATTGATGTTATTTTATTTTAATTGGAAAGTCAGATTTACAGAGAGAAGGAGAAACAGAGAGAAATATCTTCTGTTTGCCAGTTCACTCCCGAAGTGGCTGCAAAGGTTGGAGCTGAGCCATTCTGAAGCCAGGAGCCAGGAGCTTCTTCTGGGTCTCCCACGTGGGTGCAGGGTCCCAAGGCTTTGGGCCTTCCTTGACTGCTTTCCCAGGCCACAGGCAGGGAGCTGGATGGGAAGTGGAACAGCCGGGATACAAACAGGCACCCATGTGGGATCCTGACACATGCAAGGCAAGGACTTTAGTAGCCTTTAGGCTACTGCTCCAGGCCCCATTACAGGCATTTGGGAGTGCACAAATGGATGAAGGATCTCTTTCTGCCTGTCTTTCAAATACAAGGAAAAGAAATAAGATTTTAAAATACATTTGGGGCAGGGTGTCTGCTAACAGGAAGTTGTCATTGGATTCACAGCTGGGACCCCAGCCAGGTTCCAAGCAAGGTCCTGGGCAGCGTTGTTACTGTGCGGGTCTGCCCTGAGCCTGAGTGTTGAGTGGAGGGACACGGTGTGCGGATGCAGGGGCCCTGAGCATCTGCCACTTACCACCAGCTTCTTACAGGAGTATTTGAGGGCTGTGGTTTCATTTTTAATTTTTGTATTTATAAAGGGGGAACAAATTCCATATATTTTTGCTTTTATTTGCCTGCTTCCCAAGGGAATATTTTTCTCCTCTGAATGGTCAGGCTACCTACTTCTGCAACCCACAGCCTTTCGTGCCCTGAAGAGGGAGGGACTGGGGCTGTGGCACAGTGTTTACCTGTGGCGCCAGATGCCCTGTCACCAAGTACTGGTTCTAACCCTGGCAGCCCCACTTCCCATCCAGCTCCCGGCTCGTGGCCTGGGAAAGCAGTCGAAGATGGTCCAAAGCCTTGGGACCCTGCACCAGTGTAGGAGACCTGGAAGAAACTCCTGGCTCCTAGCTTCTGATCAGCTCAGTTCCAGCTGTTGCGATCACTTGGGGAGTGAATCATCGGATGGAAGCTCTTCCTCTCTGTCCTCCTCTCTGTATATCTGACTTTGCAATAAAAATAAATGTATTTTTTTTAAGATAAATACATCTTGACTTTAAAAAAGCAAACGAGTTCTGTCTGACATCACAGGAACTCAAAAAAATGGCAGAAAAAATGGCTGTATATCAAAGCCCCAAGGAAAGTATAATTTTCTGTGACAACTTCTACTTTGTGGTTTTTAGAAACATCAATTACCAAAGCACACCCTCCCAATAATTTTCCTCTTTTTAAATTAATTTTTAAATGGGTTGTGAGGCTGAGATAGATGGCAGACTGAGGAGCTCACCCGTGCTGGTCTGTTCCCCATTTGCCTGGAATTGGATTTGGACCTCTGAGGCAGATGGCAGGGAGCCACCTGCACTGCTGCCCGCTGCCCGCTGGGGTCTGCGTGGGCAGGTAGCTACAATGCAGGCATTATCTCCTGGGGACCGACATCTTAACCATTAGACCCAGTGCCTGTCCCTCTCTTGAATTTCTGAAAACTTCCATGTTCTCTCTGGTGTCTTGGGGAGTCTGGGCTGAGGCTGTGATGGGAAGGTCATTTGTATGCAGGTGCACTGTCAGCTCCGTAGGCACCAGCCACCATGCTGTGACTGACTTTCTTGTCAAAGGACAGTGGGGACAGTGTCTTTTCTCCGTGTCCTGTGGCCCAACAGCCTTCAGGGAGTTTCTGTTCTCCCGTGGGTCTGGGGTTTCCCAGTGTCTGTTTGACTGGCTGCCACTAGGGAATATGAACCCTGGAAAGAGATGGTCCCGGGGCTGGGGTACCTGGAAAGTGGGGAGGGGCGGGATGTGTGAGCCCACTTCTGAAACTGGGCGGTCGGGATCACACCTGTGTGTGGGCGTTTGACTCAGACAAGCCCGTGTGTGGATGGATGTGGTGGATGCATCGCATGGGGTGTGACTGTGTATGTGTGTGCATGTGTACATATGTGCGTGTATAGGAGAGTGGGGGTATTGTGGGAACAGTCAGGAACCGTGCTTGTGGACAGGACTGTGGTGTCTGATGCCCTGGTCCACAGGGCACAGGCTCCTGTGCCAGGAGTGGTACTGAATGCTGTGGACCTCCTGGGGAGAGCCAGGCTTGCACCTGCTGTCCCCCTCCCTCCGCACAAGAGGGAGCTCCTGGGGATTCCAGCTGATAAACAGACCCTGCAGTTTCCCCAGGGCATCTAGGAGGAGGAAAGCAATAAAGGAGGAAAAGCCTTTATTTTTTTTTTTTCAAAAAGAAGTTATATTTGATATTTACAAACAATAAAAATACTTTTCCTGGGGAAGTTAAACTTTTGGATTTTAGTATGTTATTTGTTTTTCTTTTCTAAAAAAAGTTTTATTTAGTTGAAATGCAGAGTAAGAGAAGGAGAGTGAGAGACAGAGAGCGGGGTCTGATCTTTCATCTGCTGGCCCACCTTCTAGATGACTGCAATGGCTGGGGCTGGGTTAGACTGAGGCTAGAAGCTGGATCTCCCACGTGGTTGTAGGGGCCGAAGCAGTTGGGCTATATTCTGTTGCTTCCCCAAGCCATTGGCAGGGAGCTGGATTGGAAGTGGAGCAGCCTTGACTCAAATTGGCGTCCATATGGGATGCTGTTGCTGTACCTTCATCCGCTTTGCCACAGCGCCCACATCTTTTCCTTATTTTTTGAGGTATAGCTTATTTACAATGCATCATCAATGTTAAGCATGTGGCCTGAATGCTTTATCTATACACACTCATGGAGATGTAGAGCATTCCTAGCACGAGCGAAAGTTTCCAGAAAATTGCCATATCCCGTCAAGTTACAAATATTTATTTATTGTTAAAGTTAGGTATTGATTTGTGAGAGACTGAAATACAGTTCCCATCTGCTGGTTCACTCCCCACAAACCTGAAATGGATGGGCGACAGCAGAACCAGGAGTTGGGACCTCCATCCAGCTCTCCTGTCGTGGGTGGCAGCACCCAGCCACTGCTGCCCTCACCTGGTTGCCTCCCAGGTAGTAGGGTCCTATTGTCAGGAGCTGGGCTAGGACATGAGCAGGTTCAAGGTAGCGGTCAGGAGCTGGGCTGGGATGTGTCCACTAGGTCATCATCTTTGACAAAGGAGAAGCGTGCTCCCTCCTTTCCTTGTCCCCCTTCACCTAGGTCCCTTCACCGTCCAAGGCAGTGCAGAGGTCTGGGGGCAGGAAGGAGAAAAGACCCCAGTCTGTTCAATCTGTTTGACTGGGCAGGGGTCACTTTGTCCATCCCTGTGTTGCAAGGGTGTCTTCAGGTGTGGGAAGGAGGGGAGAGCACCCTTCCCTCTTGGGGACACCTTCTGCCGTCTCCCTGGACCAGGGCCTGCTCAGCCTCTGTTCTTAGAAGCCCTGAAGCCTAGGGTGTGGGCGTGCTCACCCCTGGCTTAGGAAGCAGCCGGTCAGGGTTTGAGTCCTGGTAGGGAGGGCACTGGCACTTTACCAACTGGGTGACCTAAGCCGTTCTTTCCACTCCCAGCCTGCAAACAAGAGCTCTGGTGAGTAGCAACCGGCCAAGTCTCGCAGAGGACAGCACTGCAGGGCATCTGCCGTTCAAGAGGGTCCCAGGACGGACAGCTCACACTGTCCCAGGCAGCCTTAGTGTGGCGCAGGGAGGCTGTGTAGAAGCTGCCAGTAGAGGAGGAAGAGGAGGAAGCATGGGATGGGGGAGGAGGAGGAGGAGACTGGCAGGAGGGAGTGTGGCATGGGGTCCTTGTAGACTCAGGTGCATGAAGCAAAATGCTTGCCTCCCATGTCCCAGGCACGCCCAAACCCTCAGTTGTCACAGATCGGCAGTGCCAGGCCCCAGCCTCTGGTGGCAGCCCTGTGGGAAGTGGGCCCCGCCCCCACCCCACTGTCTCCCCACTACCCCCTCCGCCCCACTCTTCTGCTTTGGGCAAAATGAGAAGTGAGTTCCCTCCAGGGGTCGGCCGCGCCCCTTCCTGTCTCCGCCCTGCTGGCTGTCCCAGGCCAGTACAGTGGCAGTTCCAGGCGGCCCCAGAACCGACCTGTGGGGTGGGTGGTGAGGTGGCCTGGGCACTCGCAGGGAGCCTTGTGTGAGCCTTAGCCCCAGAACGCACCTCCAGCAGCCCTCGTGAGGCTGCCCACCCTCCTCCCCGTGCCCTTGCTCTTCCGGGAGCCCCCAGGATGGTGAGGTAAGGGCTGAAGCCTTGGTGGGGGTGGACGGGCCAGGGAGCCCTTGGTGGTGACGGAGGGACCCGGGGACCTCTCCTCACTGTCCTGTCTGGCCTTCCAGGTGGTTCCACCGTGATCTTAGTGGACTGGACGCTGAGACCCTGCTCAAGGGCCGAGGCGTCCATGGGAGTTTCCTGGCACGGCCCAGTCGCAAGAACCAGGGCGACTTCTCCCTGTCCGTCAGGTGGGTGGCCTTCCCACCCAACCTGGCCCCCAGACCCGCCTTCCTGGCTCCCCTGCCAGCCACGCTGCCTGCCCTGGTTGCATCCATGTCTTGTCTGCATCCTTGTGAGGTCCCCAGAGTCCCCCAGTACCCCTCACCGGCCCAACACCCTACTCCTATGCCGGCCACTTCCCTCCCAAACTTAGGAACTCGGTCAGCCCCACCAGGCTCCTCACTCACTACGGCTGGTTGCTCCACAGGGTGGGGGACCAGGTGACCCACATTCGAATTCAGAACTCAGGGGATTTCTACGATCTGTATGGAGGGGAGAAGTTTGCCACGCTAACGGAGCTGGTGGAGTACTACACACAGCAGCAGGGAGTCCTGCAAGACCGAGATGGCACCATCATCCACCTCAAGTACCCGCTCAACTGCTCCGACCCCACGAGTGAGAGGTGAGGCCCCTGCACCTCCAGCCTCTCCTGTATCCCCCCGCTAGTTCCAATGCACAGCTCTGGCCTTTTCTCCCTGTGTCTCCCAGGAAGCCACAGATGGAGGCCTTGTTTCACTCAGGGTCCTCCTAGTGGCGGCCGGGCCTGTTGTTAGAAAGCTTTCCTTCTGTGGGCCTGAATAGGCCTGGACACCCCACCCCCCTCACACACACACACACACACACACACACACTGTCAGGGTTGTGTGCTATGTAAAAACAGCCTTCACACCAGCCAGTGCCAGAGATGATGGTTTGCAGGTGCAGTGGGGTCCCAGATGGAGAAGTCCAGCACTCTGCCAGGTGCAGGGGGCTGCTCAAGGCCATCCTCTCTCCTTGGCTGTGCAGAGCAGAAGGGGCTCCCAAGAACTGAGTTTTGCCTTCCCTTGTCATCTCCCTGGAGCAGGACAAGGTGTGAGGGCTGGGGTGCTCGGACTTGCCCTGGGGTGCACACACAGGACCTTGTGAAAGGCAGCAGGGTCCCTCTGCGTGTTTTGTTTATGAACCTTCAGTCCTTCTGGGGTGCAGGCCTCTGAACTTGGCATCAGGACTGTTGCCCAAAGGACTGATTCAAACTTGATAGTGGACAGGGCTGAGTGGACAGGAAGCCGTGGAGAGCGGCTGCCCTGCTTGCCCTCGTGGCCGTCCTCCCTCAGCATTTTCTTGGTCACCTGCAGCAGCACGCCTGAGAGGGAGGGAGGAGGGATTCCTGCTCTCAGGGGCCCTTGAACCACTCTTGTTCCCGGGTCAGGATAGGGTAGTCAGAGCTTGGGGTGGCTCTGGATGGGGAGGTGAGAGCTCAGTTGCTCCTGGGCAGGAATTGAGGGTCTAGGTTCCTGAGGCTTGTGAATGAGGACTCAGGACAGGGCAGGGCTGGGGTGCGGGGTCAGGGGTCGGGAGGCCTGGGTCTCACCCCTGACCCTGGAGGACTCTGGGAAGAAGCTCGGCCTGCAGACTTCTGCCTCTGCCCCTTCTTTGGCCTCCACTTCCGGCATTTGCATTTGTCCCCTCGTAGGCTACCTCCCTGCCTGTGGTCAGCCTCACATTTGCATGGGGACTTCCTCATCCTGGTGCTTAGGGAAGGGGGTTCGCCCCCTCCCCACTGCTTTGGGGGTGCCCCCTGTGCTGTCCCCTGGAGTGGTGGTCGGGGAAGGGGTAGCTCGGGGGACTCCTGGCTAGGGGATGGAGGGGCTCCAGCAGGGGTGTCTAGCCGGAGCCTCCCCTGGGCCAGGAAGGTAGGGGGTAGACACGAGGCCAGCCCCTCCTTCCTCCCCCCATCCCTGCGGTTGGAAAATGCCCCCCTCCTCCTGCTGCCGGCTGAGGGAACCTCACTTCTCACTCTCTCCCCAGAAGGAGTTTGTGTTTTTTTTCCATCACGTGGTTTCCTGTGGGGCCGGGCATCGCGGGGCTATGGTTTCCTCTTGGGAAGGGGGTATACTTTGGGGAAAGGTCTTAGTTCTGTTTTCTGCTCTTCTGCCTCCCTTTTTGGTGACATCATCCCACCCACCTGGAGCCCTCTTAAACCATCCTGTGCCTGCCCACTCCCCGACCCCCTGGGGCAGTTCTCCCTGTGAGCGCCCCGTTCCCCGGCTCCCTGTGGGCCGCAGTGGTTTTTTTGTTTTGTTTTGTTTATTTATTTATTTATTTATTTATTTGTCTCTAATGTCTTTGGGTTCTCGTTGTGGCCCAAATCCTGCCTGCCTCACCTCTATCCTCAAAGCTCTCAGATGGGCTCTGGGTTCAACACCCGCTCAGAGCCTGGTTAGGCTGCCTTTTGTCCGTACGAGGTTCCGGGCCCGTGTATGATGGCACGGCCCCAGCTTCTTTGTGCCATGGGGTCACAGCTGCTTTTCATGTGAGAGCCATGGACCTCGGTGCACTGGCCTTGTGAAGGGCGGTATGATGCCCAGGGAGCTCACTGCTGTGGCCTGGGTCTCAGCTTCATGGTTGCCGTTTCCTCCAGGTGGTACCATGGCCACATGTCTGGAGCACAGGCGGAGACCCTGCTGCAGGCCAAGGGCGAACCCTGGACGTTTCTCGTGCGTGAAAGCCTCAGCCAGCCTGGAGATTTTGTGCTGTCGGTGCTCAGCGACCAGCCCAAGGCTGGCCCGGGCTCACCGCTCAGGGTCACGCACATCAAGGTCATGTGTGAGGTAGGCAAGCAGGCAGGCAAGTTGGGAGGAGACCTACTGTGGGGCTCCCATGTGTGCCCAAAGTGCGGGTGGCAGGGAGGGCCTGCTGGGGCTCAGGGCCGAGGCTTGGGGGTGTTGGCATGGCTTTCCTTGGTGCCCCGCAGAGTGGACGCTACACGGTAGGCGGGGCTGAGACCTTCGACAGTCTTACGGACCTGGTGGAGCACTTTAAGAAAACGGGCATCGAGGAGGCCTCCGGGGCATTTGTCTACCTGAGGCAGGTGAGAAAGTGGGCCTGGCCACTTCCCGCCTTCCCCTGAGCCACTCGCCTGTGACCATGGGAACGTCTGACTGCCCACCCTTCTTGACCCTCCAGCCATACTACGCCACGCGGGTGAACGCAGCTGACATTGAGAACCGTGTTTTGGAGCTAAATAAGAAGCAGGAGTCGGAGGACTCAGCCAAGGCCGGCTTTTGGGAGGAGTTTGAGGTGCGCTACCACGGGGCTGTGCGGGGCAGCATGTGGGGTTCTGGCTGGTGCTCACGTCCCCCCTTCTTGCCCCATAGAGCCTGCAGAAGCAGGAGGTGAAGAACTTGCATCAGCGGCTGGAAGGGCAGCGGCCAGAGAACAAGAGCAAGAACCGTTATAAGAACATCCTTCCCTGTGAGCTTCCAAGCTGGCCAGGCCCCACGCTGGCTCAGGCTCCTTCCTCACCCTGCCCTCCCCTTTCCTCCAGGAAGCTGCCCCCCCATAAAATCTTGACCTCCTCCTGCCCCCACATAGAAGGTCACCTACCCAAGTCCCAGCCAACAGGCAGACTACCGCTAGGTCCTCACTGAATTGCTTCTCTGAACCCTCTACCCCACTGCCCCACACAGACCCCACTGCAGAATGACTGGGCTGTTAGTGTGCCCGGGGTCTGACCCTGGCCACCTTGCCTTCCCTCTGCCCACTCCCAGTTGACCACAGCCGGGTGATCCTGCAGGGCCGCGACAGCAACATCCCTGGATCTGACTACATCAATGCCAACTACATCAAGGTCAGCAGGCCTGGCCCCGGGGGAAGACTGGCTGGGCTCCTAGCTGTTCTTGGGGACCCCTGAGATGTCAAGGCCAAGCTGATGCTTGCTACCATGGGTGGCTGAGTGTGGCGGAGGTGCCAGGGTCGTCCCCAACCAATTGGCTCATGGCCCTGCTGCTGCTGGCTTCCAGAATCAGCTGCTAAGCCCCGATGAGAACACTAAGACCTACATCGCCAGCCAGGGCTGTCTGGAGGCCACGGTCAACGACTTCTGGCAAATGGTGTGGCAGGAGAACAGCCAGGTCATCGTCATGACCACCCGGGAGGTGGAGAAGGGCCGGGTAAGGCAGCACCCGCCTCCCCAGGCCCCGCCATTCGCCATCGTGACTCTGAACAAGTATCAGGGCAAAAGGGATCTGAGCGGGCTTGCTGGCTTGTTTGAGGGTTTATTTCTCGGAAAGGCAGACTTGCAGAGAGTTTCATGCTCCGTATGGCCACAATGGCTGGCACTGGGCCAGACAAAAGCCAGGGGCCACAAGCTTCTTCTGGGTCTCCCATGTGGATGCAGGGGCCCAAGAACTTCAGCTGTGCTCTGCTGCTTTCCCAGGCATCTTATTCTTATTTTTAAAAAATATTAATTTTTTTATTGGAAAGGCATTTTTGAGAGGAGGAGAGACACAGAGAGATCTTCCATCTGTTGATTCACTCCCCAATGGCCACAATAGCTAGGGCTGAGCCAAACTAAAACCAGAAGACAGGAGCTACTTCCAGGTCTCCCACGTGGGTGCAGGATCCCAGGGACTTAGACCATCCTCCACTGCCTTCCTGGTCCATAAGCAGAGAGCTGAATCAGAAGTGGAGCAGCTAGGGCCTGGGCTGTAGCTAAAGTCCCCACCTTGAATGTGCTGGGATCTCATATGGGCGCCGGTTCTAATCCCGGCAGCTCTACTTTCCATCCAGCTCCCTGCTTGTGGCTTGGGAAAGCATTCGAGGATGGCCCAAAGCCTTGGACACTTCACCACATGGGAGACCTGGAGGATAGGCTCAGCTCTGGCCGTTGCGGCAGCTTGGGGAGTGAATCATCCGGTGGAAGATCTTCCTCTCTGTCTCTCCTCCTCTCTGTATATATCTGACTTTGCAATAAAAAAAAAAAATCTTTAAAAAAGAAAAAAGAAATGACACAAACCACCAACTGGTGATGCCAGTACCACAGTGTAGAGGATTAGTGTGCTGTGCCACTGTGCCAGCCCCATCTCAGGCACCTCATCAGGGAGCTGGCTTGGAAGTGGACTAGCTGGGACTTGAACCAGCACAGATGGAAATGCAGACATTGCAGATGGTGGCTTTACTAGCTATACCACACTGCGGACCCTGAGGACAAGGGTTTAGCCCTTCTTGGGATAACTAAAGGCAAGAGAAAATGTCTTGTCTACACACCAGGACTCCCAGGGGCTTGTTTTCAACATCTGGGTCTCTTGAACTCTAGTCCCAGGGCTACTGATTTATTTACTTGAGAGGGAGGGGGAGAGTGAGTGAGTGATGGAGAGATTAGTATATCCATCTGCTGCTTTTCTTCCCAAATGCCTGCAATAGCAAAGACTAGACCAGGCCAAAGCAGGAACCAGGAACCCTGCGCAGGTCTCCCCTGCGGCTGGCAGGAGGACAGCTGCTCCTGGGCCATCCTCTGCTGCCTTCCCAGGCACATTAGCAGGAAGCTGAGCCCGAAGCAGGATAGCCAGGGCCTGAACTGCAGACCTGGGATGGGGTTTGGTCATCCCAAGCGGTGATGTGATCCACAGCATCACTGTGCCCACCCCAGGTGTTAGGGACGTCCTTCTCTGTTGCTGTGTTTGGGGGTCCGCTGCCCAGTCCTCCTTTCTTCCCCAGGCCCCTCTTGCTCTGGCTCAGAAAGCCCCTGGTGGGCCTAGGGCTGCAACTCTGTAGCTAAATTTTCACCTTGCAAGTATCAGGATCCCACTTGGGTGTCTGTTGTGGATGGCTGTTGTGGGTGTCTGTTGTGTCCCGGCTGTTCCACTTCCCATCCAGCTCCTTGCTTGTGGCCTGGGAGAGCAGCAGAGGACCGCCCAAAGCCTTGGGACCCTGCACCCGCGTGAGAGACCTGGAGGAAGCTCCTGGCCTCTGATCGGCTCAGCTGTGGCCGATGTGGCCCTCTGGGGAGCGAACCAGCAAAAAGATTTTTCTGTTTCTTTCTCTCTGTAAATCAAACTTACTTGATTTGATTTTCTCCCCAAATGGCTGCAGTGGTTAAAGCTTTAGTATTTATTGCCTTGGCAATAAATAGTAAAAGGAAAGTCCCCTGGCGTCTCCCTTACCTGTGGGCTCTCCTTCCCCCACACCCCTGTCCTGCAGGCCAAGTGCTCCTGTCTGAAGTGCCAGGCAGACCCCTGGGGCCTCCTTCTCTGGCGCGCCTCCAGGGGCTCTCAGCTGCCTTCTCTGTGGGCTCTCTGTCTGAGGCCTGGCAGTCGGGGCACTGGTGCCCGGGAATGCCCACTATCTCCCAGGTTTTTGAAGCTTTGCCCAAACTCACTTGCTTCTAGGAAGTGACTTTCTCTCTTCCCTAATTTTGAAGACCTAGCTCAGGTGCCACCTCCTCTGTGAAGCTGCCCTGATAGACTCTAGAACCCAGAAAATTAACCCCTTCTTTAGCTGTGCTCCAAGCTCATTCTATTTTCCCTGCTCCTTGTTTAATAAACGATTTATTATTATTATTATTGGAAAGGCAGATACACAGAGAGAAGGAGATATGGAGAGGAAGATCTTCTATCCTCTGGTTCACTCTCCAAGCTGCTGCAACAGCTGGAGCTAAGTTGATCTGAAGCCTGGAGCCAGGAGCCAGGAGGTTGTTCTGGGTCTCCAATTTGGTGCTTTGGGCCATCCTTGACTTCTTTCCCAGGCAGCAGTAAAGGAATTTTGAAGGGAAGTGGAGCAGCTGGGACAAAAACCAGCGCCCATATGGGATTCTGGCGGTTGCAAGGCTAGGATGTAGTCACTAGGCCATTGCCCCCCCCTTTTATTATTATTTTTATTTGAAAAGCAGAGTTACAGAGACACAAGGAAACAGAGAGAAGTCTTCCATATCCTGCTTTGCTCCCCAAATGGCTGTAGTGGTTGGAGCTTGGAGCCAAGAACTTCCTCCAGTGTTCCATGTGGGTGCAGGGTCCCAAGGCTTGGGCCTCCACTGCTTTCCCAGGCCACAATCAGGGAGTTGGAAGGGAAGTAGAGGAACCAGGACCTGAACTGGTACTCTTAAGTGATGCCAGCGCCGCAGGTGGAGGATTAGCCTGTTATGCCAGGTGCTGCCTCCCTCCTCCCTTGAGCCTTGGGGCACAGGGCACAGGCAGTGCCTCGGTGTGTCTTGGATGTGGAGCGTGTGTTGCTGTTGAGTGATGGGAAGGCTAAGCTGCTGCTCAGGCCTCATTGCATGCTGCTGGTAGAGCCCAGGTCACATGCGCGGCTGCCTGACTGAGCACTCCAGACATCATCCCACCTCTGGCTTCATTCCCCGCATTCCTTCCCTTTTCAGAACAAATGCGTCCCTTACTGGCCGGAAGTGGGGACTCAGCGCGTTTATGGACTCTACTCTGTGACCAACTGCAGGGAGCACGACACGGCCGAGTACAAGCTCCGCACCCTACAGGTCTCCCCGCTGGACAACGTGAGTGACCCCAGCCCTGGCCACGCCCAGAGCCCCTCCCTGGAACCTGCGCTCTTGTCCTGGCCGGGCAGGATGCTGTCGGAGGGTGTGCAGGGTGAGAGCAGGAGGTGCTGAGCCGAGTCTTCACTCCAGGGGGACTTGGTTCGGGAAATCTGGCACTACCAGTACCTGAGTTGGCCTGACCATGGAGTCCCCAGCGAGCCTGGGGGTGTCCTCAGCTTCCTGGACCAGATCAACCAGCGGCAGGAGAGCTTGCCCCACGCGGGGCCCATCATCGTGCACTGCAGGTGAGGAGAGCGACAAGGACAGTAGCTAGCAGGTGACTGCCACTCACCATGCCCTGCTCCGTTGTCAGCACCTGGCCTGTCAGCTCTTTCTGTGCCTTTCCCAGACACCCGGGCTCCTCTGGGTTTGGCTCCACCCTCAGCCAGGGACAGCCACCTGCCAGGTTGCCAGCTTGCTCATCTGTGGAGGGGCTGGCCTGGCGGTCACTGCTTACTGAGGTCCTAGGTCGCTCACCGTAGTCCTTCCAGGGCCTTCTCTGCACCCAGCACCTTCCATCTAGGGTCAGTGTGGAGCTAGGCTTTTGCATTGCTCTCCTTCTCTCTCTCCCTCCCCCAGTCAGCATCCCCATCTTGGCCTGCACAGGAGAGTGTGGGATGTGTGATGTCTTTTGGGAAGGGTGCATGCACCCTTAGCTCCTCTGGGGTTCAAGGTCAGGAGACAGATGGGGTCAGTGGAGGAAGGTAGGGGTGCTGGGGCCTGGGGCACACGGAGAGTGGGGCTGACAGTGGGTGCAGGTCTCAGATAGAGGCCTCCTGTTTCCACTTGGTGCCTCCCAGTCCCAGCTGTGTGGTCCTGGGCAAAAGACTGAGCTTGTCTGATCTCAGACTCTACATCTGTGTGCTCAGAATTATCGGCGAGGCTGTCACTAGAATACACTTCACCCTTGCGTAATGGGAGCTGTTGGCACTTCCATAATCCACACTGACGTCAGGAAGGGAACAGGGCAGCCGGAAATGGACCCTTCCCTTCCCGCTCCCTCTTTGTGACGCCAGGCCCTAAGGACTCCAGAAATGCTCCTCCTCTGTGGCATCTCTGTGTGTGTGTGCGTGCATGGCATCCACAGGTGCCCTGGTGCTGTGGCTCGGTCCGTCCCCGAGAGCTCTCCTCTGCAGGGGCCCCTCCCTTGCTCACCACACACTCACTCTCACACATTCATATACGTCTTGAAATCCCCAAGGCCTTAATTTAGATGTTGCAGGAAGGAAGTGGGTGAGGGGGGGTTATTTTTGACAATCTGGGTTTTAAATTAGACATCAAGACTTGGGGCACTGCCATGACGGGCACAGACCTTGGCTGTGAGAGTGCTGGCAGAGGGAGGAGAGAAGGGAGACTCCCTCCTGGGTTGACAGTGGCACCCTGAACCCTGCCGTCTCAAGGAAATGAAGCTCTTTGCAAAGAAACCCCAAGGCAGGGAAGGAGGACCCCTGAGCCTGGCTGGGGTCCTGGGTCTTGCAGGGTGTGTGAGGGAGTCAGGAGTTGGAACAGGAAGTGGAGGGAGGGGTGTTGAGGTGGCGGTGTGTCTGCCCAGCCCTTGGCAGATGCACTGGCCCTTGCTTGTCCAGTGACTGGGTCGCACGAGGCTGAAACGAGCTGCCTCTGTAGCGAGGGTTCTTGGGCTCTGACAGATGGGCGCTGGGTTCTCTCCGCAGCGCAGGCATCGGCCGGACAGGCACCATCATTGTCATTGACATGCTCATGGAAAGCATCTCCACCAAGGGTGAGTGTTCCCTGGGGGTGCCAGGGTGGAGTGGGGAACGGGACCCCCAAGCCAAGCCCCATCCTGGCTTGTACCACTGCCATGGCCTAAGGTGGGCCTGCCGCCTGTTGCCCCTGTCCAGGGCTGGACTGTGACATCGACATCCAGAAGACTATCCAGATGGTGCGGGCCCAGCGGTCAGGCATGGTGCAGACCGAGGCACAGTACAAGTTCATCTATGTGGCCATTGCTCAGTATATTGAAACCACCAAGAAGAAGCTGGAAGTCATGCAGGTATGTGCAAGAACAGGGTCTGGGAAGGCCACAGTGGAGAGGGGACACCTCTAGTCCCACTGGGGACCACCATCCTCCCACTATGCTCTGTCTGCAGTCCCAGAAGGGCCAGGAGTCAGAGTATGGGAACATCACGTACCCTCCAGCTCTGAAGAATGCCCATGCCAAGGCTGTCCGCACATCCTCCCGGTGAGTGACCCCCGGCTGCCACCTCCCACCCTTGACCCTGTTCTCCTGGCCAGCCAGAACCTTTTCTTTCTGGAGAGGAAAAGCGTTGCAGTTGGGGAGGTCTGGGTTCAAGTTCAAGTTCTGCTCTTACTACCGCCATTTATAAGCCTTTACCCAATTGGGTGGGCCAGTGGAGGGGTGACCAGCTGCCCTCCCCATCCTGTCTGCCTCCTGCCCACTTGGGAGATGCGCTGGCCCCTTCCCTCTGCCCAGCCTTCACCACCAGCCAGCCCGCACCTGCCCTCCTGTCCTGCAGGCACAAGGAGGACGTGTATGAGAACCTGCAGAGCAAGAACAAGAAGGAGGACAAAGTGAAGAAGCAGCGGTCAGCCGACAAGGAGAAGGGCAAGGGTTCCCTCAAGAGGAAGTGAGCTGGGCGCTGGCCAAGGAGGCTGTGGGAGGCCCGGCTGCTTCCACCAGCATCCCCTGGATGGCTACCAGCTGCTGGCGGACCCAGGATCCCTCATCCTCTTACTCCCTTATCTGTGCAGCTTCTAGTGGGGGACTGACCCTAGCCGCCCAGTCTAGGAGCCCCCGTTGGGTTGTAATGTAAATGGCCACACCCCACATCCCTCCCCGCACCCCATCACTGTGTATATAGCCCAGCCACGCCCCAGGCAGAGCCAGCCCTTCTACTTCTGTAAATAAAACCTTTTGGATCACTGTGCGCCTTGTTTGCCGGGTGAGGGAGTGACTGGGCTGGAGGTGGGCAGGGGGACATGGTGGGACTGCCTCCAGGCACACACAGACCTGGTTCTGGCTTCTGCTGCACCCAGGAGAGTGGCCGTAGGCATGGTGTCTCTGCCTCTGTTCAGCAGGCAGAATGGAGCATGGCCAGAACAGGCTATCAGGAACACGAGGGGCAATGGATGGTGGTAACCATGGCAACAAGAATCCTGGCCACATGGGCTGTGTTCAGGGACTGTTTATGAGATAACACTTTTTGTTTTTTTGTTTTTTTTGAAGATTTATTCATTTGAGAGGCAGAGTGACAAAGAGAAAAATCTTCCATTTGCTGAGTCATTCCCCAAATGCCTCAAACAGCTGGGGCTGAGCCAGGCCGGAGCCAAGAAACTCCATTCAGGATGTGTGTGTGTTTGTGTGTGTGTGTGTGTGTGTGTGTGTGTTAGGATATTGAGTACCAGGGCTGGCACTGGTTGCTCCCAGGTGTAGCAGCAGGGAGCTGGATGGGAAGCAGAATAGCTTGGATTCGAACTGGTGCCTTAAACAGGATGCCAGTATTGCAAGCAGTGACTTCATGTCTCATTGAGCAGCTCACTCCCCAAATGCCCACAACAGGAACAGCTGATCCTGGCTGAAGTCGGAGCCTGGAACGGGTCTTGCATGTGGGTGGCAGGCCGGATGACTTGGGCTGCCTCTCAGGAAGCTACAATCCCACACGCAGTGAGTGGGTCTTGAGTCCAGGCACTGCAGGTTGGGTCTGGCCCCAGAACCTGCTGCTGCAGCTACAGCTGGGGCCAGAGGGCCCACTCCTAGACCCAACCATCCAGCACGTTCTCACCGGCCAGGAAGTCGGGCTGGGCCGGTGCTGGGTAGCCAGCAGCACCGCATAGGGGGCTCCAGCAGGCAGAAGCAGGTTTATCTTGCTGTCCCATACCCTTCCACAACCTCCCCAGTTTGGGAGTCCCTTTCCACAGACAAAGCCAGTGTCCTGGGAGGTGGGATGGGGGTGGACCCAGAAGAAACGCCCCAGAAACTGAGCATTTAGGCTGCACCCAGAGCACACAGCCATTCGGCCAACCCTTGCTCAGGATCCATTGTGTCCGGGTACTGGGGCTCGTTAGGGCTGGGGCCCGCCAGCGTGCCTTGGGGAGGCTGGCCAGGAGCCCACAAACATAAAATAATTGCGGACAGGTATGAATTGGGACGCAAACAAAGGGGAGGGAGCGAGCGCAGGGAGCCTAGGGATTGAGCAACACAATAGCTCCCCGGAGCTGCGGCCCTCCCGGGGGTGGCGGGGTGGGTGGGGCAATCACCTGTCGCCTCGGGGCCCCTCTCCCAGCAACGCCCTTCTCTATCCCAGCCCAAGCAAGCGGCACAAAAGAAAGGCAGGTTCCACCCCTCTAACCGCCCTCGGGCTAACCGCCTTTGGCTGGGGACTTGAGTCCACCGTGGGTGCCGCGAGGTGAGGTGGGGTCGCCAGCGGCTGTCCGCAGAGCAAGGCCGCTGCGCCCGGGGCAGCTGCCCATGGCTGCGGGGGCACCTCGGGCTTGGGCAGGCTGGCAGGACCTCCGACCCGCGCGCTGGGAACCGGGAGGCGCCGGGCCCGGGCCTGCCTGCAGGCCTGCCCATCGGTCCGTCGGTCTGTCCGCGTTCTCGCCACCGGCCTGGCGTCTCTTTCTCTCTAGGCATACGCAACATAGGCTGGGCACTGGGCAGGGACCCAGTCGTAGCACCGCCAAGCTGACCCCTCGCCGACCTCGCTGACCCCGGGGACCTCCGGCTGTGGGCAGGATCCGAGGCGGCCCAGCTAGGCCCTGGGGTGGGCGGCCGGGAGTGGCTGTGGGGGGGCGCAGGGACAGCCCCTCCCTTTGTTCGTCTGCGGACAGGGTGGGAGTCAGGAGGCAGGTGAGCGAGGAGCGGGCGGCCTGGAGCAGGTAGGGGGAGGCCTGGCGGGGAGTGGGGCCGGGAGGCGGCGGGCGCTGGCAGGGAAGGGGTTAAGGCGGTGGGGGGGCAGCCTATGGCAGGAGGACACACCTGTGCGCTGGGCGGCGGCGGGCGGGGCCCAGGTGAGGAGCGGCGGGCGGAGGAGGAAGGAGGAAGAGCGGCGGCCAGTGCGCGCTCGAGGCCGTGCCGTGCGGGCCTGGACGCCCCCTCCTCTGCTCCGCACTGCCTCGGTGAGGGGCAGGTGGGCCTGGGCACAGGTAAAGGCCTCCCCCCTTAGGCGCGCGGGCCTGGGGCCGAGCTCGCGGATGCACCGGGCAGTGTGTGCGTGTGTGTCGGTGGGGTCTGGGGGAGCAGGCGCAGCTAGTGGAGGGTGGGGATGGCGGCGAAGGAGCTCCCCGCTGCAGGAAAGCAGCAGCGGGCGGGCCAGGGGGCTGCTGAAGGCCTGCTGGGCCCTTGGCCGGTGGCGCTGGTGGTGGGCAGCCAGGGGCGCACCCGGAAGTGTCCCCAGGGACGCGGGCGGCGGGGGGATGGGAGACTCCGGGATCCGCAGCGACGCAGCCGCCCCCGCCGCAGCAAGGGCATGGGGCCGCCCGAGCTGGAGGTGGGTAGGCTGGGTGGGGGCCCTCGTCTTACCCAGCAGTGTTTGGGTGCTGGATGGGAGTCTCTAATACTGCCGGGTAATGATGGAGGCCCCTGGCCCCGTGTCAGCGACAGACATGGCCTCAGGCCCTCCGCGGCCCCGTCGAACCCCTGCCCCAGCAGCTCTCCCCCGACGCGGAACCCCCCTTGTCCTTGGGCTCAGGGTGCTGCGTAAAGGGGGCGGGGTAGGTTGGCAGGCTGCCCTTGGAAGGGACACAATGGCCTGCAACCCTCCTTTCCCCCCACCTGGTTGTGATCTGTCATCCCGTGGATTCCCAGCTCCAGGCGACCTTGCGCTTGGGGTTGGCTTCTGTATTCTCAGGAGGCCCCCAGCTGGCGTGCGACCCGGGTCCCTGCGGCGACTGGGCAGCACCGGCCTGGAGCTCCGGCTGGCCGGCTCTGGGTCCATCTTCCAGCACAGTGTTGGATGGTCTGATTGGAAAGCTCCTAACACTGTCTGGTAAAGATGGCCCCCGGGTCGGGTCTCTTCGGCAGTGACCTTCAGGGAGGCGCGAAGACCACGGAGGCCTCCTGCCCAGCCACCTCTGACCTTTACCCCTCTGGCTGCGTGGTGTGACTCACTGGGAAAAGGGGAACAATGGGAAGGAGACAAAATGGCTGCCTCTGGAGCCGCAGCAAGATTTGGAGACATACTTGCTGGTTCCCCAGGCGTGTCTGCTGCTTCCCAACCTCGGAAACGGGAGAGAAATAAAGCGTGAACAGGAACATGAGACAGATGGGCTTGCTTGCTCTTTGTTGAGCGCGGAGGGGGGGCCGCTGTGTCACTGCAGAGCCAGGAAACAATCAACCAAGACGCTGGAGCTGACCTGGCCCTTAAATCCTGGATCTGGGGTGCCAGGGGTGGGAGTCTGGCGACTACAGGGGCTCAGGGCTCAGCACCAGCCTCTCTGATGCAATGAGGGCTATCTTGGAGGGAGGGTGGGTGCACCTGTTGTGGGCGGAAGGGGCCCCTGTCGTCAGGGGCCTGCCATGGGACTAGCCCCTCTGAATTTCCTGATGAGACTGAGTGCAGAAGCAGGCAGGGAGTCTGACTCCGCTGGGCTTCTGCAGTCCCTCAGGAGGCACCTGCGAGTCTTCCCCATAGCTACGGAACCCCGTTGCCAAGGAAGCTGCTCCCCGAGGCCTTCACGTTTCTAGTCTGGCTCAGCAAAGCCACAGCTGCGAGAGCCATGGGGTGATGTGGCAGGAGCGGGGTGTGTGCATGTGCGCGCTGACCAGGACGGTTGGGTTCCCGGATCCTGGACCTCGGCTGGCCTCGGAGGGCAGCGCCCGCCTGGCAGCTACCCCGGGCCGCGCTCTCCTGCGCCCCCTGCTGGCGGACACAGGGAAAGGCCCGAGTGCATGGATGTGACCTTGTGCACGCGCCTCCAGAACCCAGACACACGAGGCGCCGACTTCAGCTTAAGTAATAAAAATTTATTGAGAATTCCTGGGATGGTGGTTATTTCCTCCCACCACTGTAGGAAATTACTGAGAAATCACACGGTCCCAGTCCCTGGACATCATTTCCCCAACTCCTCAGGCTTAATCCGAGAGTGCTGGGGGATGAGCCAGAGGGGACCATCACGTGGGAGTGGGGTTGGGGTGGGTGTGGGCTGGGCTGGCCCCCGTCGCTCCTGGAGAACTGGAGGAACAGACATCCACTTCCTCCCTCGGGACAGTTCTTGGTTACCAGGCTCATTTCTTACCCTTGATGAGGCTGTCACTGGAAAACGGGACAGATGATGACATTGTCAGGGAGTGTTAAGTGTGAGATGCACAGCACCCCACCAGCTCCCCCTGCCCCCAACTCACCTTCCCCTGTGGCAGCAGTCATCAGCCCAGCAGGAAACAGAAAGAAAAAGCAGGTGTCACTGACAGCTCCGGCCCAGCTAGCCCCGCCCTGTTGGGCTCCCAGGCTCCAAGCGGGAGTGACTCCTGACTGGCCCAGGCCACTTTCCTCACATCCTGCCAGGTGCCACAGGGACAACCGAGTGGCATTGATACTACTTTTCGGTTACACAAAATACCACCCCCAACAATCACCCTACTTCATCTCTGAGTATTGAGCCTATGGTGAGAGGGGCCCAGGTGAGCAGACTCCATCCCTCACCGCGTGAAGCTCTCATCCTGCAGGTTCAGCACGAGGTTGTCCGCTGTGAGATATATTCGGTTCTGTGACGTGGCGATCTACAGGGCAGTGGACAAGACAGGCTTCAGTCCCAGCCCTCACATTGGGCCCTGGGCAGCTCTGACAGGACCCAATGCGACTCAGGGCAATGGGCTAATGGCCTAAGTAGCTCAGGGTTTCTGGGCTTTTGCTCTGGTGCACTGTCACTTGGACAGGAGCCTGCTTGCCAGCCTGGGGGGCCCATGGGGAGCATCCTTGGTGAGAGAAGAGGGAGAGGCTGGTCCGAGCAGTGCAGGCATCTCAGGGTGGCTGCCCCCACTCCTGGTGGTCCTGCACTCACCGTCTTGGAGATGTTCTGGGCGGCCCGGATCTTGCGTAGTTTGATGTAGCCGGGGTTCTTGCTCAGTGCCTCTCCAAGGTGAGCAGGACAGGGTTAAGGGGTCACAGCAGGCTGGCTCTCAGTCCCCCGTCGCCCCAGTCCTCCTGGGGCTGTCAGATCCAAGGATGCGCTCAGCCAGCTCCTGCGCAGGCTCCGTCTGTGGGCCTGCCCCGCAGGCTGCTGCCCGGGACTGGCCAGCAGCAGCAGTGGGGGAGGCCAGTGGGTGCTGTGGATCTGACCTTACAGTGGGGAGCTGGGCCTTTGGAGCCCCCACTAAGATTTCAGATCCCATCTGTGGCCCCTCCCTCCCTCCCCCCGCGGAGCCCTGGGCAGAGCAGGATTCGCCTTCGCCTTAGTCTCATCAGCCAGCCCGTGGGGTGTGGGGGGGGTGCCTTAGTCTCATCAGCCAGCCCGTGGGGGGGGGGGGACGTGAGGGGAGGATATCATCTTGGCGGCCTCAGCCTCTCCCTCGGCCTGCACAATCTTCTGCCTCTGTTCCTGTTTGGCCTTTTCCACCAAGAACTGAGCCCGCTGGGCCTCCTGCTGGGCTGCAGAGGGCGAGAGGCGGGGCGGTGGGGGGTCAGGGACAGAGTCCATCCTTCTCCCACATTCTCGGGTGCCTGTCCCCAGCGACTCACCCACTTGCTTGGCTTCCACGGCGGCCGTGTACTCTCGGCTGAAGCTCAGCTCTGTGATGGCCACATCGTCCAGGATGAGGCTGAAGTCCTTGGCCCGTTCTGTCAGCTCACGCCGGATCAGCAGAGAGACCTGGGGGCAGGGGAGGGCAGGGCAGGGCAGGGATGGTTGGTGGGAACTGGTGAACTGAAAGGAAGGTTTGTGTTGCTGTGACCACGGGGCTACAAGCTCCTGAGCGCCGCCTTCAGCTGGGCCTCCCCTGGCTCCTCGCCTTAACGGCCCACAGGTGGAGAACAGCCTCAGGGGTGGGACCACCACAGCTCACACTCCAGACCCTCTGCTGTCTCCCTCACAACGCGCATCTGCTCAGCTTCCCACCACCAGCCTGGGCGCCCCAAGCGATGCCCAAAAAGCCCAGCGACCTCTCTGCTTCCGCCCTAACTGCTCCCAAGTCTAGGTGCGCGTGTCCCTTATTCCTCATTGTGCCAGTGGGCTCAGCTTTTAGGTGGTAACCGTTCTGGGGCTATAACCCTAGGAGGGACATGCTGACACGGTACCGGTGGTGACGGACAGACCTGGGCTCTCTGGGTGATGAGCTGTGAGGCGTTGAACTTGGCCACCACGCTCTTGAGCACCTCGTTGACGATGGACGGCAGCACTCGCTCCTCGTAGTCCAGCCCCAGGCGCTGGTACATGCTGGGCAGCTCTTGGGCGTTGGGGCGAGACAGCACGCGCAGGGAGATGTTCACCATCTGCAGGTCTGCGAGGGGAGTGAGAGGAGAGGGGTGCTCAGGGACGACCCCCTGCCCTGATCATTTGCTTGCCCCCCTACGCCCAGTACCAGGCTGTGCAGCCCTGCCACTCCCCAGGGGAAAGAGAGCAGCCAAGCCGACAAGGAACATGGACACAGACAGAAACCACCCTCACCGGGGCTGGCGCTGTGGCCTATGGGTAAAACCACCTCATGACAACCAGCACCCCACCTGGGCGCTGGCGGGAGGCCCTGCCCAGCGCCCTGCTTGTGCCCTGGGAAAGCAGCAGCCGATGGCCCAAGTCCTCAGAACCCTGCCCCTGCATGGGAGACCCAGCAGCAGCTTCTGGCATCCACCCGGCCCAGCCCTAGCTGCTATGGCCATTTGAGAAGTGAACCAGGATGAAAGAGCCAGTTGCTCTTCGGGTATCACTGGGCAGTCTTTACTCATGACTCCAGCCAAGAGCAGAGCTAACTCCTCTTCAGCCATTGCATCTTACTAGACCACGAAGACATGAGGACAGGGCTGTTGCTTTGTGAACCTTCCCAAGACCCAGGCTCTAGTCAATGAGTAACAGAGCTGCGCTCAAAATGGAACAGAGCAGCGCAGGCTCTAGGTGAGCTACTTGTCTAAGTGCATACGTGTTTGTGTGTGAAGGGGGGAATGAGAGGGGAACAGGTGCACTGAGCGGGGCCAAATTTCTCCAGGACAGAGGGTACTAGTGGAGGTAGCGATCAAGTGAAACATTAGAGAACAAGGCTTTGATCTTGGCAGTGAGGCAAAGGACAGCGGGTGTGTGGGGGAAGGGACAGTGTTCCAGGAGCATTAACCCTTGGCGGCAGAGCCTTCTGTCAGAGCTCCTCGCCATACGTGTGGAGTCCAAGCCCTAGGCTACCATGTTCCGTTAGTCTAATAATAATAATTTTTTTTTTTCCAGAGTGGCCGCCAAGCACCCAGACCTACCTTTGGAGCCTGTGGGGGAGGAGATTTTGCGGGGCCTGGCCCGAATGTCATAGATTATAGGGTACTGGAACCAGGGGATCCTGCAAGGGAAAAGGACGGGCAGAGGTCTCGGGAGACTGCGGCTTCACGGCCTGGCCGGGCGGCCTCTGGCCACGCGGTTCTGGCCCGGCCCCTCCCCGCGTCCTCCCGACAGGACAAGGGGGCGACTCCCCGCTCCTCGTGGACAGCAACAGGTATGGGTCGACCACACTTGGGGCGGCACTGGCTGCCCAGGCTCAAGGGGCTGAGGAGAGAGAAGGGGCAGCGCGGACGCCCAGTCCGATCACAGCCAAAGGGCGGGTCAGGGTCAAGTCCGTTCTGTCCACTGTTACCTGAAGTGGAGGCCCTCGGCCAGGATGGTGTCCTGCTGCACGCCCCCGATGCGGTTAAAGAAGATGGCTCTGTGTCCGCCTTCCACTGTGGGGGAGAGGGACAGGGGTCAGGCCAGAGAGCGCACGTGCTGGCTGAGGGCTGGCGGGGCGGCCACGGGCGTGCAGACTGCTCACCGGTGAACACGGACTCGCGGACGCCGTAGGCCACCGCGCCGGCCCCCAGCAGCAGCTTCAGCGCCGTGCCCATGCCCCGGGGCCCGGCGGGCAGCCGTCCGGCCAAGTCCTTCAAGTTTTGGGCCATGTCTGGTCCCGAGGCCGGCGACACCAGAAGTCAGAGCTGGGGTGCCGGCCAGTCTCCACCCCACTCCAGTTTAGAGATCACACCCCACACACACGAGGGTCTCAGGCCGTGGTGCTCCAGGGAGAAAGGGCACCGGAAGTGCGCTCTTCGCTAAACCCTCCCTCTCGGCTCAAGGAGGACCCGAACTTGGCGGCCAGGAACGCGCACCCGGAAGTCCCGCCCCCTCCTGGAACCCTGCCCTCTCGGGGAGGCTTCGTTAGCGCCGGGAGGCAAAGCCCGTCGCCATTTTCAAGCGCCCATTTTCAAAATGGTGTCCGGAAGGAAGTTTGTCGCGTTGCGACGAGCGCGTGGTCTTCATCTCAGGACGCTGGCGCAACTTCCGGTCCGGTGGCAAGATGGCTGCCCCCAAGCGCGAATTTCCAGCTCGTGAGCGGCGCTTCGGGGAGCCGGAGCAGGAGCAGGACTGGGATGCTACGGCGCCCAAGCGGCCCCGGCTCGGGGCGGGAAGCAAGAGCGGAGGCCGCCGGCTGATTGTGGTGCTGGAAGGGGCCAGTCTGGAGACGGTCAAGGTAGTTTGCGACAGGAAGTGTTTATCGTGGGTTAGATGGGGCTTGGAATGATGGCGAGGCGTTCGGGGTGGATGGGGAACGCGGAGAGGCGAACTGGCGCATTTCGTGGGAGGGTTGAGTTGCCCGTGTTCTGGTTGGACATCCTGGGACGACTGCTGATTTCCTTCTCACACCCCTTCCGGCCCGCGTCTTCTTGCTTGTGGTTGCTTGAGCACGCTGCTGCGTTGTTATTAAGTCATTTGAGGGGATGCGAGTTACTGAAGACGGACAGCTACTGTAGCTTAGTAAGCCCACCCTTTAGTGCCTGCGAGCTGGGTGTTTGCATTCGTTAAGGGGTCCACTGCCGCCCCCCTCTGGATAGGATGAGCCAGATCGTATTTAATGCTTTTGTGTTTTCATTTTTTGCTGATCGGTCGTATCGTTCCCCGAATGTTGTAAAGCCAGCAGCGTCTATCGTAAATCCTTGTGAAATCTTTTCTTTCCTTCTTGGCGCTCATGCTTTTCTTACTCTTTAGAGCGAAACTTGTTCCAGAAGACCTAGGATTGGTTTAGCAACCAGACCTGGATTTTATTTATCCTTGCTTTTGTCACTTATGTCAAGTATGTGATTTTGAGAGTGCGTTCTGTCCTCGGTTTGTACACTGAGGAGAATTCTCTGAGTGAGACCCATTGTGAAAATGTTTTCATCTAAGGGGACGTGGTTTTGCATCTGTGCCACTTTATTAAGCTTACAGTCTGGAGAAACCTGTGTCTTATTGAATGATAGCCAACTTTTGTTGTCATTTTCTTCTGTAGTCAATGTTTATAGCCTAATTCTAGGTTGGTTTTTCTTGTTTGTTTTTAAAGATTTATTTTTATTTGAAAGGCTAATTTACAGAGAAAAGGAGACACAGGCAGGCTGTGTTTTATAACTTCCATTCCTCAGCTCTTTGCTGCATTAATTCCTCCTGCTGATCCGTTGATTTCACTTACAGTTACTGAATTTCTGCTGTGTTGGTTATTGGATTAAATGTACGTGGCTGTGTTATGAATGAGATCCTCTTGTAAATGATTTTCCCTTCATACTGTTAATCAATTTGAACTGTCCATGTAATTGCTTATTGTTTGCTAAGGACAAGAAATTAGCTTTTGAAATGATTTCTTATATCTTTACTAGCTTTTGTAGTCATGACAGGTGGTGGCATTAGTTCTGACTATTCTGGTTAGTAGTTTTCAACCTTAATCATCACAACCCACCTTAAAAGTTACTATATAGGCCAATGTACACTTCTAGCTACATAAATTCCAAATGTTTCCTAAGCCAGCGGGGGGGCCTGCGTGTACCAAAGGGCTCCTCACAGCCCGCCACAGGCTCCTCTCATTCAGTTCAGTGTCATCTTCTGCCTCTTGCAAGATTGTTGGGAAAAGAAGGTAAGAATGAACATACCTACGTGTGGAAGTACTCGGATATTTTCTATTTGTTTCATTGAATGAACAACCCCCCTGGTTATATCCTAATGGGCCCAAACAGGATTATTCTTCTTAAGAGATTTTTTTTCTGCAACTAAGAATTCCCCATGGATTTAGTTCTTGCTCCTTTGTGGTGCTTCTTTTTTCTTTAAGGTTTATTTATTTACCTGTAAGCAGAGTTACCAGAGTTGGGGGGAGGACAGCTCCGTGGCCCTCACTGAAGACCAGCAGTTGTACCGTAGCTGTTGGTTTCCAGCAGAGGCCTGAAGCACCGTCTTTCACTGGTCTGGAACCTCAACAGGGAATGGCTGTTTGATTCAGCACTCAAACGTAACTCTGTCTCCCACTGGGAGAGCCTCAGGAATGCTGTGATAGCTTCTGACCTTGGGGGACAAGCCAGCTAAGGGTGTGGAGGAAAACTACCCGGCTGCCTTGTTTATGTTGTCTCACTCTTGTGGCTAGACATGGGTGTTGGTAAATGAGGCTTACTTCAGAATGAATAAATGAGCTCCTAACTGAAATAAAACAGAACTCTTTCAGCTGCTTCTTCACTTCCCCTGTGGCTGCCATGGCCTGGGACTCCCACGTGGGCCCTGTTTTGCTGCTCTCTCAGGCATGTAACAGAGCTGGGCTGGAAGAGGAGTAGCTGGGACTTGAACTGGCGCCCATGTGGATGTGGCGCTGCATAGGGTGGCTTCTCTTGTACATCCTAATGCTGGCCCCCTTTGTGCTATTGTTTTATTTCAGCTTGTCAGATCATTTAAAAATCTGCATTCCCTTTCCCCCAAGCCTTGTGGAGCCAGGTGCTAGGACACAAATGTCCTTTGATACAAAACATCTCTGCCTTTCAGAACTTGTGTTCCTGCCAGTTTGTGATTGTTATGGACCAGCCTGATTCACCATGAGTCAGATTGTAATTTGCAGTTACTTTTAGCTACTATTGGTCCAATTGCTTAGCATTATCAAACTTTTTTTTTTCCTTTTAGAGATTTATGTATTTTTATTGGAAAGGCATATTTACAGAGAGGAGAGAGAAAAATATTATGTCTGTGAGTTCACTCCCAAAGGGGCTGCAACGGCTGAAACTGAATCAGTGTGAAGCCAGGGGCATCTTCCAAATCTCCCATGCAGGTGCAGGGTTCCAAGGTTTGGGGCCATTCTCCACTGATTTCCCAGGCCACAAGCAGGGAGCTGGATGTGAAGTGGACCAGCTGGGACATGAATTGGCACCCATATGAGAGCCTGGTGTGTATAAGGCGAGGATTTAGCTCCTGAGCCATTGCATTAGGCCCATTATCAAACTTGTAACTCGTGTCTTTTCTGGTACAGAATCCGCAGATTTCTGTCATTTCCTCTTCCTTTAGAACTGTTGCGCTATCCTCTGCTGCTTTGCCAAGTGCTTTAGTGGGGAACTGCATGGGAAGTGAAGCATCCGGAATTTAAAGGGGCATATGCCAATGGGATGCTGGTGTAACAGGTGGTGGCTTAATATGCAGGCCACGGTGCTGGCCCTTGGCAGGCCACTGGGTCTGTGGGAGGCTTGTCGGCTGTGACTCTTCTGGCCTTGTTCTTGATTGGGGAGGATCTGCATTTTACAAAGTGACTAAATTCACTACCCATTAGTGGGCTCAGTTCCCACTTTTGTACAGATATTCCTGTTTCTGCTTTGTCTTGATTTTATTTGCTCATGCTGGTCTTTTTAAAACCTTTTTTTTTTTTTTTTTTTAAGTTCCAGGGTGTATTTGAGCCAGGAAGTTGGTTTGGAGGTGGGGTGGGACTTGAACCCAGCACTACGAGACGGAAACATGCCGTGTCTTCATCGCTGTTCTGTTCTGCTTTGCTCGGCCTCACGCTGCTCACACTCGGAGCCGCTCTTCCTGTTTTATTTCCAGCTGCCTCCTGCAGCAGCAGTTTTCACACATCCCTATTTAGATGAGTAGCCCTCCACTTAGTGCGCGTCTGTCATAAGCAGACTGAAGCTAGCTGCTTTGGTGTGTTTTGCCCGGGCCATACAAGGGCATTTCAAAAACTTCATGGAAAAATAAAGTTGAGATTTTCTTTTTCCCCCATTACCTACTTTTTTCTCAGGAGTTCTGGAAGGTCTTTTGCACGCAGTGCTTCCATGATAGACATAAGCTATCAGCTCTGCTTTGCAGCCTAACACCTGCCTGGCTCTGGGATCTTATATGGAGCTTGCCAAGCCCAGAATCCATCCTGTGAAACTACAGCTCGTGCCCCCTTAAGATGTCAACTGGGTGCTGAGTGCTAGGGTGTCGTGCGTTAACTCAGCGCTTCAAGTCCCAGCTGTTCCACTTTGTCTCTAGCAGGTGACGGCTTGACTTCCGTCACCAACCTGGGAGACCTGGCTGGATTTCCGTGCCTCTGGCGTCAGCCCGCCTCATCCCTGGCTGTCATGCGCTTTTCAGGGAGTGAACCAGCCGATGAACATCTGTCAGCCTGCCTTTCAAGTATAGGCAGGATGTGCGCTTCTGATGTAGCAAGTGTGGCTATACCTCAGAATCTGCCTGGAAGTTTCCAGATGACAGAGGAGCCTGCTGGTTCTGGGAGCACGCCTCGACCTTGAGAACCACTGGGTTAGCAGTCATTGACCCTTCCGTCCTCGTTCTTCAGGTAGGGAAGACATACGAGCTGCTCAACTGTGACAAGCACAAATCTGTGTTGTTGAAGAATGGCCGAGACCCCGGGGAAGTGAGGCCAGACATAGCGCACCAGGTAACCCCCAGGCAGTTTGCAACCTTCTGGGGCCCCGGGCAGGCGAGGCAGCCACATGCTGCTTCCCCACAGCCTTAGCTCGGCCGTGCCTCCCGCTTCCTTAGAGCCTGCTCATGCTCATGGACAGCCCGCTGAACCGCGCCGGCCTGCTGCAGGTCTACATCCACACGCAGAGGAACGTGCTGATTGAAGTGAACCCGCAGACTCGGATTCCCCGGACCTTCGACCGCTTCTGTGGACTCATGGGTGAGAGGCCCTAGGTGGCTCTGGGAAGCAGGACGGGAGCATGGGGACTTCAGCAGGCACTTTCACGCCTTGGCCCTTCTCTGTGGATTTTCACATGGAGAGTGCTGTCTCCTGCTGTTGGGCGTAGCCAGTCTTCCTGGCTTTGTGAAAAAGCAGAGCGAGCAGGCACGCGTGCAGCAGCATTTATCTGTAACCTGCACGCGGGCTCGTCTGACCTGTGGGTTCTTCTAGGTACATGACTGGCTAGGATTGCCGCTCCCACCCAACTCTCAACTCTTTCTTTTATTCCTAGTTCAGCTTCTACACAAACTCAGTGTTCGAGCAGCTGATGGCCCTCAGAAGCTGTTGAAGGTAAGGAACTAAGCCTGCTGCTTGGAGCAGGTGTTGTGGCGCAGTGGGTTAACCCACCACCTGTGCTGCTGGCATCCTGTATTTGATTGGTTGGAGTTTCAGCTGTTGGGCTTCTGATGCAACTTTCTGCTCATGTGCCTGGAAAAGCATTAGTGAAAGCGGATGGGTCTCGGCGAGCGCGTGGGTGGCCCAGATGGAGTTGTAGGCTCCTGGCTTTGGTGTTTAGCGTTGGCTATTGAGGATGAGCCAGTGGCTGGAAGCTTTCTCCCTTTCTCTGAGTTTCAGTCATTCTGCCTTTCAAGGAAATAGCTTCGCTGTCCCCTCTCCGAGTGTCTGGGATCAGGCCCTAGCCCCCACCTTTGCTTCTCACCACCCAGCTTCTTGCCAGTTTGCCTGGGAAGCTGTGGACGATGGCTCCAGCACTGAGTCCCTGCTGCCCGTGCCGGAGTCCCCAGGTGCAGCTGCTGTCTCCCGGCCCAGCCTGTTGCAGGCATTTAGGGAGTGAACCAGTGGATGAAGATCTCCCTGTCTCTTCCTCTTTCTGTCACTCTGCCTTTCTGATAAATAAAAAATGAGTACTTAGGGCCTAGCATGGTAGCCTAGTAGTTTAAGTCCTAGCCTTGCTTGTGCTGGGATCCCATATGAGCGCCGGTTCTAATCCCTGCAGCTCCATTTCCCATCCAGCCTGTGGCCTGGGAAGGCAGTCGAGGACGGCCCAAAGCCTTGGGACTCTGCACCCACGTGGGAGGCCTGGAAGGGGCTCCTGTCTCCTGGCTTTGGATCAGCTCAGTTTTCGCCATTGTGGCCACTTGGGGAGTGAATCAGTAGAAGGAAGATCTTTTTGTCTCTCCTCTCTTTATATCTGTCTTTCCAATAAAATTGAATAAATCTTAAAAAAGCCCAAATATACATTTGGAGAAAAAAATGAGAGCTGCTGGCTGGAGGCGGTGTTCTGGGAATGTTTTTGGACTTTCTCCCACTCCATCAGGTCATTAAGAACCCAGTGTCCGACCACTTCCCAGTTGGATGCATGAAAATCGGCACTTCGTTCTCGGTGTCAGACGTCAGTGACGTGCGACAGCTGGTGCCCAGCACTGACCCTGTCGTCTTTGTGGTCGGAGCCTTTGCCCACGGCAAGGTAAGGTCTAGGTTCAGCCTGCAGGTGTTGCCACACTGTGTGCTCAGCACAGAATCCCAAGGGTGTCAGCACTCAGCGGTGCCTGTTCCTACATGTTGGGAACTTGAGGGTGGCTCCACTTCTTTCCCGGGGGTCGTCTGGTGGGGACTGCTTACTGCTGGCCTGCCCTAAGCAGGGCTGAACCTGCTGCAGGGCCAGAGCGGGTGACAAGACTCTCTGCCCCCAGGTGAGCGTGGACTATGCAGAGAAGATGGTGTCCATCAGCAACTACCCCCTCTCGGCTGCGCTCACCTGTGCCAAACTCACCACTGCCTTCGAAGAAGTTTGGGGTGTGGTCTGATGACACGAGAGCCTTGTTGGACCAGGACTGTTACCCCACGCGCCTTCTGGCTGCTGCTTGGCCTGGCTGCTGGGGGTGGACCCCTGCCCCAAGGTCACAGTCGGGGACGCCGCGGCTGTCCAAGTGCCGCTTATCCTAAAAATACTGTTCTTGCACATGTGTTTTGTTGTTGTTGCTAAACTTAGCGGTAGCTAATGCTGTAAAAACAGTTTGCTCTCCCTGAGCTGGGGTGGCAGAGTGGTCGAGCAGGAGGGCAGTGTGACTGGACCCCAGGCTGGAAGGCAGGCTTTGTGCTGTAAAGGAGAGAAGCCGATTGTTGAGCTGAGCGAGTGTGGAGGTCGGCCTTGTCTGGGGGAAGGCAGTGAGCAATGCCAGTGGTGAAAAACTGAACAGAAGTGATTTTATCTGGTACAGTTCCAAGGTAGAAAAAGTGGAGCAGGCAGGGCCATGTGCCCCTCCCCCCCATAGGGGGGGCAGTGGGAGCGGCACTTATACAATCATAGTAAATTGGCAGAAGAAAAACAACAGATTCCTGGCTAGAGGGGAAGATAAGGCCACGTGCATGGGGGAGCCGAGAGGGGAGACCCGGCCCCTCAGCTCCTCCCACGAGAGTGTCCCCTTTGGCCCCAGATGAAGACTTGGCTAGCAGCAGAGGCACGGCTGAGAGGACCACGGCTTCCAGCTCCTGGCTTTCCTGTGGTCTGTGCTGTGGGGCGTGGGAGTGCTGTGGGGGGAGACCACCAGTCCTGCTCTAGGCCACCTGCAAGACAGAAGAGATGGGGGGGTGGGAGCTGGAGGGTGGCACACGGGCAGCTGGCTTCACTCCTAGCTGCTCCACTTATTTTTTTTTTAAAGATTTATTTATTTATTTATTTATTTATTTATTTTTGCAAAGTCAGATATACATAGAGGAAGAGAGACAGAGGAAGATCTTCCACCTGATAATTTACTCCCCAAGTGAGCGCAATAGCCAGTGCTGCTTTGATCTGAAGCCAGGAGCCAGGAACCTCCTCTGGGTCTCCCACATGGCTGTGGGTTCCCAAGGCTTTGGGCTGTCCTCGACTGCTTTCCCAAGCCACAAGCAGGGAGCTGGATGGGAAATGGAGCTGCCGGGATTAGAACTGGTGCCCATATGGGATCCTAGTGTGTCCAAGGTGAGGACTTAAGCCACTAGGTCACCACACTGGGCCCCACTGCTCCACTTGTGATCCAGCTCCCAGCTTCATGGGAGCAGTGGGAAATGGACAGGTGTGGGCTCTGTGCCCATGTGGGAGTCCTGGGAGAGGCTCCTGGTTCCTGGTTTGGGCCTGGCCCAGTCCCAGCCATTGTGGCCATGGGCAGGGAACTGGTCATAGTCCTCCTGGCCTGGTCTGTGGCCTCTGCAGCTCTGATGTGGCAGGTCTTCCTCTGAAGGTCAGAGTGCTTGCCCGCCTGTGTGGCCTGACAGCAGGCTACTTCGAATGTCACCCCAGAATGCCACAGGGCTTACCAGGCAATTAGGTTACTCCATTTTCTTCAGCTTCTCTTTCCTTGGCACCATTACTTTGTTAACGTAAGACAGTATGAAGAGTAGACTCAGGAAAAAGACGTGGCCGAGAAAGTAGACGGACCTATACACCTGCAGAGAGAGGGAGACCGCTGCGGCGCGTGAGGGCACAGAGGCTGCTCGCGCCCGGCCAGGGCCCAGTCACCCGGTTACCTTCATCCACTTGTCCCACGTGAAGAGGCAGAAGGCTGTCATGGAGTATCCCATGAAGAGCCAGTGGATGGTCTGTTGCACCAAGTAGAAGAAGGGCTGGAGGGCTGTGATGGAGGCCAGGTGGCTCAGGGCCGGGCTGTTCCTGATCAGGCTCTCCGCCTGCGGAGGGAGCAGAGGCGTCGGGCTCCTGTCCTCACAGTTCCTGTCCCCTGCTGTCCTGGGGGGCCTACCTGTCTCTCCACAATAACAATGAGGAATTCCATCTGAAAGCAGACCAGGTATCCTGAATGCAGGCCGTGCCAAAGGGCCAGGAACAGCAAGGAGAGTCCCTGGGAGATCTGCTTGCTTCCAAGGAACTTGAGGCGTTTATATAAGTAACTAGAGACAAAAGGGTAAGCATGAAGTGACCAGGCTAGGTCTGCAAGCCACCTGAATGCAATATGCAGTGGCTCCAGTTGTGGCCACCAGGGGGAGTGCGAGGCAGGGCTAGCCGGGGAGATAATGGGCAGGTGAAGCCGGGTGGAGGTACCAGGCTTACCGGGACACCCAGGCATTGGTGTTGATGTTGAAGGAGGCGATGGTGCCCGTGAAGCGGGGGGTGGTTTCAAAGAGCCACACCTTCATGTTTGCACAGGCATCCCACCTGGGCTTGCCGTCTTCGAAGCCATTGAAGCCCAGCCCTGTCAAAATGCATACTCCTTCCTGGTGGGGGATGGAGGGAGGGCGGGCTCAGGGTGCTTGCCGTCCTCTTGCGGGCCTGCCCTGCCTGGCACCCCACCTCAGCCTTGCTACTCACCGTGACCAACCAACAGGTGACGTACTTGTACAGCACGAATTTGCCCCAGACCAGCATGTACATACAGCGGAACCAGAATGCGTGGTTCTAGACAGAAGAGAGCACATCAGGGCAGGGTCCTCCCATCCCGGTGCCCTCTCTTCAGAATCCCGCAGCCAGGGAGCCAGCTGTCAGATGCCACTGCCTGCACAAACGGGGCCTAGTGAACATCAGGCACCTCCTGCTCCTTGGAGGACCCCCCAGCATCATCCCGAATCGCTTTGCTTGCTTTCACACAAGATGAGCACTTTTGAAACCAGTGGGTCCAGCTCAGCTTGACGTCTGTCGGACGTTCATGTTAGTAGGCAATCCAGAATGAGCATGGAAGTGGCACAAGCCTTCTGGCTGGGCAGGAGCAGCAGCCAGCACTTCCCCTCCCTCAGCTCCCGGCTGGCTCCCAGGACGAATCGGACAGGGGCCGGGGTGGGAGTGAGGCAGGCTGTTCAAGGAGAAGGGGTGCTCCGAGTGGCCCAGCCCATGAAGGACGTTCAGTGCTGGCTGCTGAACATGGCTTGGCTGCCTGGAGCGAGCATGTGTCCGTGGAGCCACTCACGTCATAGTCCTCGGTGATGAGATAGTCTTCTGTGATGTGGGGGCTGAGCAGAGTGTAGCCCACCAGGTAGACGAGGCCCAGACTGAGGCGTTTGAGAGCAGGCACGGTGCTGGAAGGCAAGAGGAGGGGTCACGGGCTGCAGGGCCTGGCATGGGGGCTCTGCTACCCATGGCCCCCACTGCTGCAAGGAAGGGTGTCCTCCCAGTGTGGGCAGCTCCCAGGAAGGGCACTGCAAGCTGATGAATGCTTTGGGGAAGGAGGGCATTGGGGCGTTCTGGCCCCTCCAGGGTGCCAGGGCTGGCAGGGGGCTGTCGGTCTGCATTAGGACAGAAAATTCAGGGTGGCTGCGCTAACCAGAACCTGTGTGCAGTCTGCTCCTCCCTGGCCTGGGTGAACTGATGCCCGAGACGCAGGCAAGTTCTCAGTGACGGCACTTAGAAGCCCGCATCCTCTGCAGATACACATCTGTGTACACTTTTACATATTTCACAGTTGATACCGTTTCTCTAACGAGCATGTGCATTAAAGGCACAGGCCTCACTGGTCTGGGCAGAATCCTGTGGCACCAAAGTGCATTTCCTGTTTGTACCATGGGGTCAGCAGGGCAGGCTGATGGGGGCCCACCACCGGCTGTGCCTGGGTATGGTACAGTATGGGGCTGTGTGCCAGGGCCAGGCCACAGTGTGAGGCAGGCCACATCTAGCCCTCAAGAGGGGCACGGCAGGTGTGACTTGGCACTGGGCAAGAAACCTACAGAGGTTTTGACCAAGAGGGGCAATTACCTGTTTGGTATCTTCCCTGGTATGTCAGTCAGCTGTCCCTGCACCAGCTTCATGTAGTGGTTCATTGAGAACTGGGGCCCTACCAAGAAGGCCCCATAGAAGTAGGAGAAACCAGCAACTTCCAGCAGGGAAGGGACACCCCGAATGGCATATTTCTGTTGCTCCGAGGACAAGGAGCTCTACGCCGAGAAGAGAATGAATGGTTCAGGACAGCCTCGAATCTCCTTCCGGGAGCCAGTCTGCGTGTCCCACCCGAGTGCCCCACTGCCTGGGTTTCTCCAAACAGCCTTCTCTTTGGGGGGGTAAACAGAGTGGTTGCTTGAGGTGGCAATGGGGGAGTGTGGGGGAGCGGAGTGCCAGGGGCTGCTGCTGCTGCTCTCCCAAGTCCCTTGTTGGCACTGTTCTCTGGACTTTGTGCCAGAGCTGGCTCCTGGGCCAGTGAGGGCTGGGATCCTCACGCTCTGCAATGGCGATCGCACAGGCTGGGATGGGGAGAGAGGCCCTGCCACTGCAGTGGGCTCTGGGGTCTGTCTCCTTCCCACCGGGTCAGGCTGGAGTGCACCTCTCTGCAGAGGAGCTGGTGCTTACCTGCAGCTTCCCTCCGTCAAAGTAGTCGATGGCCAGACCTGAGCAGAGAGAGGAGGTGTGGGTGGAGCAGAGGGGAGCAGCCAGTGGTGTGTGCGCTGAGCACAGCCCGGGCGGGAGGGCGCCTAGGAGGCCTCCCGGGGACGGCACTCACCGATCAGCTTCAAGGTCAGGACGCAGTGAGGCATTGTCCACTTGATGTCGTAGTTGCCAGTGGCCGTGTAATAATACCCTGCGAGAAGGTAGGCCTGGAGGAGGGAAGTGTGTGGGGCTCTTCAGGAGGCTCATGGAGCACGTACGGTACAAGGAAAAACCATGGGTTTCTTAACTTTTCTTCATGCTTGTCTTAATCCACCTCCCACCTTCCTCCTGTCTCCTGCCCAGCCCCTGCTCTGGTCCCTGTGCGCTTGCGTTCTCCCTGTCTCCGGGCACCATCGATGAGAGCTTGCAGAGCTTCGGGAGGAGAGCCGTGCGGGGGGTCACGGGCAGAGACCTCCAGCTTTCCCAGAGAGATGCAGCTGTCCAAGCTTGGCCACGTCCGCTCATGCTCAGTCCCTCCCCGGCCTTGCCCTCCCCGGCCTTCCCTCCTGGACATCTGGGTGAACCCTAGTGTGGGTTCCAAGGATCTTCCCTGGCAGGGAGGGCCCCCTGAGCCTGGGGCACTCTGCTCGGTGCTGGGAGAAGGGGAGAGATGCCGGGGGCTCTCCTGCCCTGCGTTCCTCACCCCAAGTCCCCTCCAACCCCCCGCCCTGTGCTGTGGGCGGCCAGGGCCTCAGCTGGGGAGAGCCGCTCACCATCTGGACACAGAAGGTGGTGAGCACGGCAGTGATGGTGCGGCCCATGAGGCGCAGGATGAGGAACTGCAGCACGATACATAGCAGGGAGTGGTAGAACTGGGATCCTGGAATCAGAGAAGAGCAGGATCGAGCCTCACCCTGAGACCTCCAACACAAAGCACACAGGAAAAGAAAATGTTGGTCTGGATATTGTGGTGGAGTGGGCCAACCTGCTCCTTGGGATGCTGGCATCTCACTTGGCCTGGGTTTGAGCCCAAGCTATTTCACTTCTGATCCAGCTTCCTGCTAAGGGCCCCTGGGAGGCAGCAATGGGGGGGTCAACTAGTTGAGGTCCTAGTGCCAGTAAAGTACCACTTCAGATATTGGCATCCCATATTACAGTGTTGATTCAAGTCCAGGCTGTGCCACTTGCAATCCAACTTCCTGCTTACTCACCTCAGGGGCCCAGGGTGACTAAATCCTTTGCCTTATAACTGTTGGGATCCTATGTGGGTGCCAGTTCATGTCCTGGTGCTTTAATTGCCATCCAGCTCCCTGCTTGTGGCCTGGGAAAGCAGTGGAGGACAGCCCAAAGCTTTGGGATCCTGCACCTGCATGGGAGACCTGGAGGAAGTTCCGGGCTCCTGGCTTCAGACTGGCTCAGCTCTGGCTGTTGTGGCCATTTGGGGAGTAAATCAGTGGATTCAAGATCTTTCTCCTTTTATCTGTAAATTTCTTAATAATCTTGAAAATACATTTTAAAAAGGAAACTTGGGTATTAGGATCTTTTTCTAGAAAACTCCTAGGTATTAGCGGAAGGGATGCAGATGAAGGAGGAGAGCACACTGGGAACTGAGCATGCCTGCGCATGGAGTGTGGGGGTGCCCTTGGTCAGAGCTATGCCAGGGGACCTGCAGGCTCTCTGTGGCAGGGGCTGCCAGGGGCACCATGTTCCCAGTGCTTTTTTTCTGATCAGAGTGTCCGTAACAGCATAAAAGAAATGTTTCACGGTGTTCCTGTCCACTGGACCCTCTAAGCGAGCAGGGCATTCTAACTCCTCGACCCACCAGGTTCTCTCGAGGAGATTCTGGAGTCTGAGTCGTCCAGGCTCCCTGGCACCGCACTGGCACCGCCCACAAGCCACTCACCAAAGTTAAAATAGGCAATGGAGAGGCCGGTGAAGGTGTGGTAGAGATGGATGAGGTAGCTCTCCTTGTAGAAAAGGTAATGCCGGTAAAACAAGGCGAAGGGGTAACCTGGATGGGCAGAGATGGGAAACGGTTACTTGGGCCTGGTGCCAACCGGGGAGTGGCTTGGCTGTTTATCGGGCATGAAACTTGGCCTGGAGAGAAAAACGCATGCATGGCATGAATGTCAGCAGAGCAGACGTAACAGCACCCCTAAACTGGGGCCTGGGGAAGACGACTTGTAAAGAGGTTATCTGGAACAGGCCCCCAACACCACCTTTCACTCACAGCCTCTTAACTATTGCTGCGGATTTTCTCATCATGGAATTAAATATCCAAGGAACTCAAGATGCCCAACCACACCCCAGAAACACAAGTGTAGTTTTACAGAAAAAATTTACACTCTGTGACGTGTCCTGTCAGCACAGTACCATCTGATTGTGATGTTGGCCACGCACAGCACGGACCCTGAATGAGCACTGTGTGTGCATGCCCACACGCCCTGCAGTTACCAGATGCCTGGTTCACAGATACCCCTCCCCCTCCCGACAGCTGGGCAGTGACCACGTTGTAAAATCCCTGTTGGTGCACTGGGAGAATGCCTTCTCAACCATGACCCAGAGTAGGGCGTCGAGACCCCGGGAGACAATAGGGACCTCCAGATGGCGGGGGCTGGAACACAGGGCCCAGGGCTGCTGGCTGAGTTCACATGGGGGTGGTATACTTAGTGTTCTTAAACTACAACCGGTGTGGTCCTCTACACGGCCAGGCTGCTGCGTGTCACCAGCGGTCCACTGCATGGCCAGGCTGCTGCTGCGTGTCACCAGCGGTCCACTGCATGGCCAGGCTGCTGCTGCGTGTCACCAGCGGTCCACTGCACGGCCAGGCTGCTGCGTGTCACCAGTGGACGCCTCCCGCTGTGCTTGCTGGGGCACCCCACTGTCTTGCTGGCCTGTCACACTGGGCACTCTTGAGTTGGCTATGGCTTGCATCTGCTGTGATTCTTGCTTTTAAATGACAAGTGGCAGTTTACTGCGGGCAGTACAGTTCCTCATGAGCTCGGGGAATTCAGCTGTGCTTACAAAGTTGTCATACAGAAAGTGCTCCGATTTTTTGGATAATCACATTGTACATACGCTTATATCCTTCTATGGTCATTTTCACTGTTTATCTTTCGGTCTTTAAAAAGGTTTATTTGGGGCCCAATGCAATGACTGACCTGGTTGGCTAATCTCCCCACCCTCCCGCAAAGTCCTGGGATCTCATATATGCACTGGTTCGTATCCTGGATACTCCATTTCCCAGCCAGCTCCCTGCTGTGGCCTGGGAAAACAGTGGAGGATGGCCCAATGCTAGGGACCCTGCACCTATGCAGGAGACCTGGAAGAAGCTTCTGGCTTCAGATCGGCTCAGCTCTGGCTGCTGTGACCATCTGGGCAGTGAAGCAGCGAATGGAAGATCTGTCTCCCCTCTCTCTAAATCTGCCTTTCCACTAAAAACAAATAAATCTTAAGTAAATAAAAGATTTACTTGAAAGTGTTACAGAAAGAGAATCTTCAAGCTGCTGCTTCACTCCTCAGATGATTCCAACAGCCGGGGCTGGGGGAGGCTGACCAGGAGTTTCAGCCGGGTCTCCCACATGCGTGGCTCAGGGCCAGGCACCTGGCCATTCTCTACTGCTTTTTCAGACCCCTAGCAGGGAGCTGGACGGGAAGAGGAGCAGTCAGGCTTTGAACAGGTGCCCATGTGGGATAAGGCCAGCATTCCAGGAGGCAGCTTTGCCTGCTACCTGACAATGCAGCCCTGTGAACAAAGCAAGCATGGACACAGCCTGTATCCTCATATAATTTATTCACATGCAGAATACCAACCATTCGATTTTCCTGGTGCCAGGGTTTACTGGTGTTTCTTTGATGATTATTCTCATAATGGGCCGATTTATTCCTCAAATTTACACCTCCATGCAAGCAGTTAATTCTATAGAGAAGTCTGGGGCTCGTTCACTTATTTCACAAGCATTTATGAAATTCTTACCACATGGAAGCTATTTTATGCACATAGTGGGGGAGGTGAGGCATGTAATTTTTTTAAAAAGGCTTTTTTGGGCCTGGCGCGGTGGCGCAGTGGTTAAGGTCCTTGCCTTGCACGCCCGGGATCCCATATGGGCGGCGGTTCTAATCCCGGCAGCCCTGCTTCCCATCCAGCTCCCTGCCTGTGGCCTGGGAAAGCAGTCGAGGACGGCCCAAAGCTTTGGGACCCTGCACCCGTGTGGGAGACCCGGAAGAGGCTCCTGGCTTCGGATCGGCATAGCATCGACCGTTGCGCTCACTTGGGGAGTGAATCATCGGACAGAAGATCTTCCTCTCTGTCTCTCCTCTCTGTATATCTGCCTTTCCAATAAAAATAATAAAATAAATCTTTAAAAAAAATAAAAAGGCTTTTTTATTTGAAAGGCAGAGGGAGGGACGGAGGGATTGAGTATCTCCCATATGCTGGTTCACTCTCCAGAATGTCCTCAGTAGCCTGGGTTGGGCCAGGCCAAAGCCAGGAACCGGAAACTCCATTCTAGTTTCCCACATGAGTGACGGGGGCCCAAGCTCCTGACCTATCATCTGCTGCCTTTCCGGACACATTAGCATAGAGCCAGGTCAGAAGCAGGGTCGCCAGGACTTGGGTGGCACTCTGACATAAGATGCTGGGATTGCCACACCCAGATTAACTCACAGAGCTACAACCCCAGACCCAATGGTTTTCTTTTTCTTTTATTTATTTGAAAGGCAGAGTTAGAGAGAGAGAGAGAAATCTTCCATTATCTGGTTCACTCCCCAAATAGGAAACAGCCAGGGCTAGGCCAGGCTGAAGCCAGCAGCCAGGAGCCTCCTCTGGATCTCCTATGTGGGTGCCGGGGCCCAGGGACTTGAGTCATCCTCTGCTGCTTTCCCAGGCCATAGCAGGGAGCAGGATTGGAAGTGGAACTGCAGGGATTTGAATGGTGCCCATATGGGATGCTGGTACAACCCCGACACCACAGCGCTCGGCCCAGGTTTGTTTTCCAGTTGGCTGAGACAATGTGATACAGGATCACCAGTTCAGTGCAGAGGGAGACAACCCTTTTACAGCCAGACGGATAAGTAAAGAAAGGAGATCAAGTTTTAGTCAAGTATTATAAAGTACACAGCATAAGGCCCAATGCCTGGGAGTCTTGGTGCGGGGAATGTCCAGCCCGCAGGCTGCAGGAGGCTCACAAAGCATCTGGCCCTGCCCTGCCAAGGCGACCGCAGATGGGCCCAGCACTTCAACAGATTTGTACAGCAGGCTAATTTTTAAGCTAGTAATTTGGTGTGAACCATGGATGGTATTATAAACACCCAAATGGCCCTGGGCAGAACAGAAGCTTCCCACCCCTGCCACTTCTGCTGCTTCTTTCAGAAACTGAGGGGTAAGTTACGGACAGCCAAGAGCTTCTCTTTCTCGCTCCGGTTCCCTCTCCAAATGGCCGAAGCCAGGAGCTTCTTTGGGTCTCCCATTTGGGTGCGGGGGCCCGACTACTTGGGCCATCTTCTGCTGCTTTCCCAGGGGCCTTAACAGGGAGCTGGATGGCAAGCTCCAAGAGTTGAACTCCTTGAGCCCTGCAACCATGTTGAATCCTTCCTACAGAGTGCTGGGCTCATTCCAACTGAGCAGAGCCGAACATCTTGGTGGACAGGCTGTGGCCAGTGCGTAGCAAAGTCGCATGACCCATTGAGGGGTGTGACACTGCTCCAGCCCTCTTAGGGCCTCCGCCGCCTGGAATTCCTGCATTTTGTACCCATTTCATGGAGCTTTTTGGCTGCTTTCCCTGCTATTCTGGGATCAACAGTCACTTCTGGAGCTTTCAGTATGCCTGCCAAGAATAATAGTTCTTCTCCCTGTTTTGGATTTAGAGCAGTCTTTAGAAATTGGAACTGTAGGGAGACTTACTTCCTGGAGAGACAGAAAGAGACAGCAAATACTCCTATTTATACCCCGATGCTTACAACATCTGGAGCTAGGCCAGGGAGCTGGAACCCCATGTTAGGCAGCTGGAACACTGTATCCACTGCCATCCTTCACTCATGTGGCTACCACTGCCTCCAGAGTGCCCACAGTAGGCAGCTGGACTCAGGAGGGCAGAACAGAATTGGAGGGACTCTGATATGTAATGTGGACACCCAGCAGGCAGCCGGGGCTCTCAGCCAAACACCTGCCCCATAACTTGGCTTCAGGGATGAAAGTAAAAAAAGGTACAGTGAGAGTGTTGAGTGCTGGGCCTGGTGCAGTAGCCCAGTGGCTAAAGTGCTCACCTTGCATGTACCAGGATCCCATATGGGCAATGGTTAGTGTCCTGGCTGCTCCCATCCAGCTCCCTGCCTGTGGCCTGGGAAAGCAGAAGAGGATGGTCCAAAGCCTTGGGACTCTGCGCTGGTGTGGGAGACCTGGAAAAAGCTCCTGGCTCTAGATCAGCTAAGCTCTGGCTGTTGCAGCCGCCTGAGGAGTGAACCAGCAGATGGAACAGCTGTCTGTCTCTCTTTCTCTCTGTATATCTGACTTTCCAATAAAAATAAATAAATCTTTAAAAATAAAAGTGTTGGGTGCTGTCCTTAGATTCAGCGCTCAGGGCTAAGAACAGCTGGTGTGCAACCCTGAAGGGCCATTTTTGCCATCTGGTGTTTATGGGAATGGAGGCTGTGGATGCCACGCAGGTGAAGTGCATGCCGACAAGCACACATGAGGAGGAGATGCAGAACTCGGAGAAACAAAAAGAACACAGCAGGCCGGGTTACCAAGGGCACTGACAGGCTTCAGAGACGACAAAGCCTGGAAGGAAGCCGCCCGGGCAAGAGGAACTGCGCGGGGAGTTGCTGTGACAACCCGGGCTGATTTTGCGTGTGTAAACACTGAACCTCGCTCCTGGCCCCCTCTCAGCTCAGCAGGCTCTGGAGCCAGCTGTCCAGGCAGCCCCTGAGGAACGGGGCTGTTTCTAGGGAGGCCATGCTCCCACAAGCTGCTTCTGGGTCTCAGTGTTTTTCCGTGGGCGCCAGGGTTCCAGC